GTCCTCCCCCTGACATGTGTCAGTTGTATTACATAAACAGGTATTTTATGATATATATATATATAATCGTAAAATGTATCTCACAATTACTTCCCATTTACAATTGAGAAAATTAACACACAGAGAATGGAGCATTTGAAATTATTATCTAGGATTCTACTAAAGGAATATTTTTTAGGGATACATTGTTCTCCTACCACAAAGCTTCCGAATTGTTCTTACAGAGGCTGGTTTCTCTGTATGTTGCATCACATTATAAAGTAAGCGCTGTTTTTCTTCAAGACGAAAACATTTTCATAAAATATCTTGTTAATATTTTACTAATCATTCATTTTTACCTATTTTAGAACACACCTAACGACTTGCAAATGATGTCTGACGCACCTGCGCATCATCTATTTTGTCTTTTAGGGCCTGTGGATACTAATAAAAAGACTTTACCGGAAATACTAGTCGTTCTTCAAGTGAGTACAATAATAGTTCTTAGAATATACATATATCTGAGCATACTTTTAAACGAATACATTTCGAATTATTCACGAGTAGCTCACATACTGTACTTATACAATTTATTACTGTACAAAAATTTGATTTGCAATATATATTTACATTTCAGATTTGCTTAGAAGGTGAAGTCAGTAAAAGTAGCGTGAGTGAAGGTCTCTCGCGAGGTCGCAGAGCATCCGGCGATTTGATACCATGGACAATTGCTCAGCAATACCAAGATGAAGATTTCCCAGTATTAGCTGGTGCGCGCATTGTTCGTATTGCCACGCATCCAGATTATCACAGAGTATGTGTTTTTTTATTACATAGTGTTTAACATACACATAAATATACGCCTAACATGAAAGTTACATCGCTCCGTTAAAAATCGCATGATCATAGATGGGATACGGCAGTCGCGCATTGCTGCTATTGAAGCAATATTACGAGATGCAACAACCTAATATCAACGAAGATGTTGCGCAAGAGCCAATAGCAGAAATCAAGAATGTTCCCGACGAGGCTGTCGGTTTACTAGAGGAAACGATTGGTATAACATTACATTATTACTCATTCTGTTAAAGATCATTTCATGATATTCGATCATCAGTTACCATGTTTTAAGATTAGCAAATAATGATCTTCTAACATCGCCCCTTATTTGCGTTTGTTATTATAGAACGTTCCTAAAAATTCATTTTGGCCTCATTTTTCATAAACTCGATTTATGATGTGGGGAAAGACGGTGTTTTATTTATTTAACTGTTTTCACAGAACCCCGCAGTTCGCTACCGCCATTGTTATTGAAGTTAAGCGAGCGACCTCCGGAACAACTGGATTACATCGGTGTATCGTTCGGGATTACGGAGCAACTGCTAAAGTTCTGGAAACGAGCTGGTTTCGTACCCGTGTATTTAAGGTATGCGAATAATTCAAAGAGAGAAAAATCTTTACAATTAGTATTATCGTCGAATTAAGTGTCGGACGATTTTAGATGTGTAACATGATTTTTCAGGCAAACGGCGAATGACATAACGGGAGAGCATACGTGCATCATGCTCTACAGAACTCACGGAGAATTTACCACTTCTGATTGGTTGCGCGATTACTGGAGCGATTTCCGCCGGAGATTCTTGAGTCTGCTTTCTTATGCATTTAACACGTACGCAGCGTCACTTGCATTAAGCATACTCGTTAACAAAATACAACTGAAATCTGTCAGTAAGTATATTCGTTTTCCATTAATTTGCTAATAATTCATGTATCACCCATTTATTATAAATTAGTTAAATTATTATTAATTTATTATTTATTCATCATGATTAACTTCTCATTGATTTATCACAGATTAAAATTCATTACAAATATACATATAATGTCACAGATATAATAATATTTCATATACATAGAATTTTAATTTCTCTACTCATGCATTACAAAATCTATCGCAATTTCGTATAAATATCGTAGTATTCTAAATTTTCTAAAATAAATATTCGTTTCAGCACTGAACAAAGAATTGTTGGACGTTTACTTTACATCGTACGATCTGAAGCGTTTACAAATGTATAGTAATAATATGACGGATTATCACTTAATCATGGATTTATTGCCCTCGTTAGGTCGCCTATACTTCTTAAATATGATGGGCGATACTCATTTCTCTGCAGCGCAATCGGTAGGTTATTTTGAAAATTTTCCAATATCTTCACTTTGTACAAAAAAAAAACGCTATTTTATGTGATTCTGAGTACATTAAAATTTTCAGGCAATCCTGTTAGGCTTAGGTTTGCAACACAAAACTGTCGACAAACTGGCAGAAGAGTTGAATTTACCTTCTTCACAGTTGCTCGGTCTGTTCAATCGTACTGTACGTAAGTCAACGCAGTACTTGCATAGCATCGCAGAAAAACATTTGGAAAACATTATGATGACTAAAAAATCGTCGGTGAACAGCCAAGTAAAAGTGGATCCTTCAGGTGCACAAAATCTGCATGAAGAATTAGAGAGCGCAGCTAAGGTTTGTTTATCGTGTTTTCATGAGAATTCTCGTTTGTAATACGGGTTGAAAATAATATTAAATACATTGCAGGAATTGAAGATCAAACAAAAAGAAGAATTGGAGAAATTAAGAAAAGAAAATCTTGAGCAGTACGCTATTAAGGGCTCAGAGGCGGAGTGGACCAGCACGTTATCTGGTAAACAGAGTAAAAATCTCGTCTCTATCAAGACCGGCGAGAAAAGGCCGACCGAAGACAGCGTACACGAGAAAAAAACCAAGAAGAAGAAAAAGAGATTTTCTTCAAATATGTAACTTCTTGTTTGAATCTACAATATTTGAACATGATACTGACTTGACTTTGATTTAATTCCTTTCACTCCCTATTTGGAGCATAAGGCACTTCTCCCTTTTGCATATGCATGTGGTGCGCACACAGATTGTACACATGCATATGGTACCTACAGTTTTACGCCGGTTCTGAACGGCAGTTGGAGAGAGGTGTTTCTTTGGCATGAGATTACTCCTGGCGGTTTGCCAGGCCACCAAGAGGAGCTACGAGCGTAAGAAAAACAAGATACTGAAGATTTCTATAATTTTTATATAAATATATTTTATATATTAAATTTATATAAATATAATATATATATATATATATATATATATATATAATATTTATTATATATATGCTCACAGTTTTTGGGTGGTTTTCCGAGGTCCTTGTTGTCTATGGAAAAATCACCACCTTAGAAGCGGCAAAACCAATCTTTGCACGTTGTATTTGATGGAGCATGTTCAGCATACGCTTCCTCTAGCAAACGATGCGTTTCCGCGGGCGATTCCCTTGCCAGGAAATAATGGAGCATAACTTTCCCCAAATGTGACTTATTTGGAACAAAACTTGCCATTGTAAACACAATCAAGATAGACGACGTTAACGCGTCGCACAAATGTCACCTGTGGCGTTTTGGCGGGACTCTATAGATTTGTCAATTCGAAGAAATAGTGTACCTAACGCCATCTATTACCAGTGGGCAATTTCATACGCAACTTTGGTAAGAAGTTTATTATTGGCTCCCACGTGAATTTCCGCCGCGCGACCGCAAGCGTTGCCGCGTCCTGTGGAATCCATCAGATTACGGATTAGAATTGAGATTGAATTAAAATTTGGCCAATCAGAACAAGTTTCACTAGACTTGAGTTTAGTGAACTTTGCTCTGATTGGTTAAATTTTAGTCCAATCTCAATTCTATTCCGTAGTCTGATACGGGCTTTACGAATGATTCAAGAATCGAGTTGCAGTTGCAAAGAAGACCTATAATCGTAGGCTAACATCGCATTTGTTGCACGACGAGCTGTCGAACGTGACGATTGGCTGTTGGGTACGAAATTTAGATGATATACCTATCTGATAAAACACGTCCTCTAAGTTGTCGGCAAGGTAAACTGTCAAGAGTTTCTGCAGACTACGAAATGTATTTTAAATGTTAAGTGGAAAGTGAAATGGAGTACTGAGAACTAAATATCGAAAGGAAGAAAGGTAAGAAAGAGGGAGCGTGACACTGAAAAATATCCTGAAAAATATCCATAAAAGAAGAAGAAACGCAGTTATAACGTACATATATGGTTGTAACCTGCAGATATAACCTATGTATATATACTGTATTATTTATGTGTGTTCTGCGTTAGCTATAATTATTATATATGTTGCTTATATATCTACAAACGAGTTTAAGTTTCTGTTTCTAATCAAAGTTATATTTTTCATAGTTTTAAACAGAGCGTCTGAATACCCGAATTGTAAGGAAGAATCGAAGATGGATTTCCAAAATCGTCCGGGTGGCAAGACCGGCGGCGGCGGCGTCGCCTCCTGGTCGGAAAGCAATCGTGACCGTCGGGAGAGGCTGCGTCAGCTCGCCCTGGAGACCATCGACTTGAACAAGGATCCATATTTTATGAAGAATCACTTAGGCTCATACGAATGTAAATTGTGTCTCACCTTGCATAACAATGAAGGCAGTTACTTGGCACATACTCAAGGCAAAAAGCATCAGGCTAATCTAGCCAGGCGAGCCGCGAAGGAAGCAAAAGAAGCACCACAGACTCTGGCACCAGAAAAACCCAGAGTAGAGCCGAAGAAGTTTGTGAAGATTGGCCGACCTGGTTACAGAGTGACCAAACAGCGCGACCCAGAATCTGGTCAGCAGAGCTTACTATTCCAGGTGGATTATCCAGAAGTAGCTGACAATGTAATACCACGACACAGGTTTATGTCAGCCTACGAACAGAGGGTCGAACCACCGGATCGTAAGTGGCAGTACCTGCTTTTCGCTGCTGAGCCATATGAAACCATTGCTTTTAAGGTGAGGAAACGTTTCTCTTTCATATTTATGCCAATGTCTCATACCTCCGAGTAGAGTTACACTGACACAGATAGTTATGTAAGAAAGATCCAACTCATGTGGAGTACATTTGGAGAAAAATGAGGTGAAAATTTAATATGCGATTTAAAAAGTATAAATGCTGTTGAGATTCCGCAGAATCGTTCAAGAAATCAAGCATAGTCCATTTTCTTTTCTTTAAGGGTATTCATTGACAAGCTTAACTCTTTGAAAAATAGGTAAAAAATACATAACTAGTAAAAAAAAGCCTATCTAGTAGGGAGAAAAAATTGTTTTTTTAATTAGTCTTAGGCGCCTATGACTTCGATCTTTTTATTTTATGTAGAAAGATATACAGACTGTTCATTAATAACAAAATCTCAAAAATCATAATTTTGTAAGTTGGATTTTGCATGACTATGGCCAGTTGACGTGCGCAATTTTGAGATTTATCATATTCATATGAGACCTAACATTTTAATTGTTCACTTAAAATATCTCCGAAAAATGCACTATTCGAAGAGATGTATATGTATCGCTTCTCTAAATAATTTAATTTTTGTTACGTTTCTCACTTCTCTAAAATATGAGGTTCTTTTTATTATTATTTATCGTTTATCGTTTATATATTATTTGTCGTTTGACAATTTGTAGGTGCCCAGTAGAGAAGTGGAGAAAGCAGAGGGCAAGTTCTGGACTCACTGGAACAAAGACACAAAGCAGTTTTTCCTACAGTTTGCATTTAAAAATGAGAAGCCTGTAGGTAAAGTACCGCCACCACCAGTTCCTTTGATAAGACCAGGACTGGGTCCAATGGTGCCTGTTCCACCGCCTCCGCCCAGACCACCGATGTTCAATCCGGTACCGCCGCCACCAGCTCTGTTGGCTACCGGAATGCAAATACCTCCACCGCCACCGCATTTAGCATAAGATATTTGACAGGAAGATTGGGAATTCCTTATATAATAATAATAATTTTATGTATACAATGTATCTCCTGACTGAAATTTTATTCATTTAAATTTTTATCATCACGAGACATTGTCTTGAATCAAATTAACTCAGAATTGTGCACATAGTTGAATAAGATCTAATAAGTTTGTACTTTCTGTAATAAGTTTTATCGAGGATACAGCATCTATTTACTTCTATTTATACGGTGATAAATCAACAGAAATAAAAATGAAATCACAGTTATGGGTAAAACCTGAGGTGTTGCTGCTCAATAAAAATAAATACAAGCAATTCTGGGTTAAAGAATGAAATGAATGATTTAATGTGTAATTTGGTATATAAAATATAACTTGTCTTTATATATAAAGCAATGATTATTTATAGTTGAAGCATCGTGGAGTATAAATGAAAACAAAAAAAGACACATGCAATATGTTGGGAAAAAGATGTTAATTTATTAATTTTTTGAAGGGACATTTATCTTTGTAACTTCAAGTATATTTCCAGATGTTATCCTGAAACCAAAATACAAATACATTAATACTTGGATTATTTAATTTTTTTAAATATTTTGCAACAAATTTTATCAGACATAAACAATCCACATGAATAGACCGATTGATCTATTTAGTGTTGTACGCACTTCTCGGTCCGCCCGTTTACTTCTCATCATATACAATTACAGAATAATATTGTTAATTATATAAAGAAAAAAGATGTCAGACTCTTACCAAGTGTCGACTTCTCCAGATATTGATATCCTGAAAGCAGAACACGTATACATTAATATTTTGATTAAGATTTTTTTTTTAATATTTTGCAACAACTTTTATCAGACATAAACAATCCACATGAATAGACCGATTGATCTATTTAGTGTTGTACGCACTTCTCGGTCCGCCCGTTTATTTTCATCATATACAATCACGGGATATTTTTAGTATTGTTAATTGTCTAAAGAAAAAAAGGAGGATGTCGGACACTTACGGTATTTATGCACACAGGACGCATGCACCGCCGACTGCCTTAATTTTGTCTTCAGCCAATTTACTGAAAAATTTAGCTTTGACAATAACAGGTTGTTTTGGTAAACGTCCTTTTCCCAAGAGTTTGTAATATCCCTGGAAAAGAAAGCCAAACGTTATGAATTTCTTATAACATCTAAATGCTGGTACGTAAAGTTATTATGATAACTGATGTAAAATATAACAGGGTATATAACTCACAGCTTTCACAAGATCAATTACTGGTGCTTTGCCCTCGACATCCTTGTACTTTAACCTGGTCTGTTCAGAGACCAACGTCCATAATTTATCTAAATTTAATGTAGGACACCACTTAGTATTACGTCTTAAGTGGTAATTCCTCATACCCAGCTGAAGATTAAAAAAAGAAAGAAAACATTAGAGCAATGAGAATCATTCTCACGAAATAATATATCTTACACATATTCAGATAATATAAAATGCATTCAATGTAATTCAGATCGCCGGTGAATATTTGTTTTTCATCATTTGATATTCTATTAATTTCCTATAACACATGTATAATATAAAAGTTTTGTTCTTTATAGCTGCACTTTTAAATTATAATGAATCATCTATTTTCTTTTCTCTTCCAAGAAACATCAAATATCTACATCTTTTTCTTTTCAAATGTATGATTAGGAATCTCGGAATTTTGTTCTGCATGCTATTTGGCAAATATCTACTTTGCTTAAAGTGCAAATTGAATAACTTAGTGTAGCTATAAAGAACAGACCTAAACACCTATGGTTCCTGCATATATTTTATTTTTATTACCTTTCCAAAGTAACCAGGATGGTATTTATCAAAATTTATTCGATGATGATGCAAACCACCAGCATTACCACGACCGCCAGGATGCTTCCTGTGCTTTCCTAAGTAATACAATATCATAATATACTTTCTATTTATCCATACAGTAAGGGAAGAACTTAAAATGCTTTAATCCATACAGCAAGGAAAGAACTTAAAATGCTTCTATTAAAAATGATAAAAAATTATATTTCATTTTTATTCATTATCAATATTTTTATTTTATTTTTATCTTATTAATTTACCAATATTATATTTAAAAACAAATAATATGAAAATAAAAAATATAGCAATTAAGCAAATTACATCGATCTTATATTTTAGGTTTTCATGATGTGGAGAAATGCATAATTTAGCTTCTCAACTAGTGCCAGGATTCATGGATTTGTTTGGTGAACCAACTCGGAAGCTAAATTAAGGATTACATCAATCTTAATTATCTCGTTCAAATTTCAGAGAGAAAAATATTGTATTAAAAAAATTTAATATTCGAAAGAAATCATCGATAATGGGTATAATATAACCTTACCGATACGGCCGTGACCGTGGCTCACATGTCCACGAAGTTTCCTAGTTTTTTTCTTGTGAGTTGACTGCAAGGAAATTAAAAGGATATACAGTTGATACATATATATGAGGAAAGCAAAACAATACGTAGGATAAAATCGTTTTTAGGTGACGATTTCAAAGGACGCAAATGCGAGGTTATGTTCAACTGACACGAAAATTTTACATATTTATAGCGGGATATAAACGCGAAATAATTATAAAGAATAATTCACGATATTCTCAGCCGCGAGTTTACTGCGAATAAATTATGAACACGATAACGATGTCTTTAAATTCAATGGATTTACGGGAATACCGGAGCGCAAAACTACTCACCATGCTTACGATTGCTTACGATGCAGCCAAGAAAGATCTCTTGACTGTGTGTTGCGGTGTCGCATTCACGCACATGCGCGACACAATAACAGGAAATCCGGTAAAAGGTCTGTGCTTTATAACTACACTTTCTGAACTCTAATCTTTAGTTGCTTTCGAGAAGCATAACGGTTGAGAGAACGCTCACTGTTGATGGAATATTTGTTTAGATTTACTATATACGATAGAAAATAATTTTTTGCTGGCGAATTTTTAGCAAATTTTTAATCATTACGGGGACAAAAGATTTGTTACACGAAAAAAATTATTTTGCTGTTGTAGCAAAACCATTGTTGTGACAGCAATAAAATTTAGTTGGCATAATCAAATTATTTTGCTGTTTGTATACCCAGCAAATAACAATTAATACTCTTAAAAAATCTCTCTGCGGTCCCTATAATAACTAATTATTTTTCAGCAAAGTAATTTTCTCTATATAAATCTAAAAGAGTAACTCAATAGGTCTGTTCGTTTTCGCTGCACCGTTGCACTAGTACAATAAATTGATGTGAGAAAACATATACTTATCTCGCTTCCACTTATTACACTAGTTCAGCGGTGCAGCGAAAACGAACAGACCTTTTGTGTTTCGTATAAATTTTCGTTACACTTTTGCACTGAGAAATCGATAGCGTTGCTGACGTCATTCTCGATAAAAAGAACGCTTTAGTGTAAACTTCTTGCACTGGTATGCACTAGTTCAGAAAGTCTTTCGAAAACGGACAGACCTGATGATCACTCAACGGTTTCACAACCGTTGTTTTTTGAACACGCCCTTTCCAGAAAGCCTCGAGAAAGGCGCCAAAATGGTCTTATGATCCAGCTGTTCTATGATTGGTTGACTTAAATGACATGATTTCTGACTTAAAGTTAGGAAATGATGTCATTTCAAAATTAATAAAAAACGATCATGAAATAACTTCAAGCTAATTATTAATTAGGACAATTGTTGAAAGTTGCAGAAGTTTAGAATAACTAGATACACGATGTATAGTAGGTATAAATTTAGCGTTTTATTTTCAGTTTATGATATTCTATAATTACACGACTCGTAGTAAAAATATTTACCCTCTAAAGTGGTTAATTCCAAATCTTTTAGTCTACGGCGTTAAAGAGACTTTGGCGGTGTTGAAGTTAGCTCTCGAATAAGCTCTCAAATAAGCGGCTTATCTCAAAAAGTGCGCGTTTTGGCAGAGGTGTGGCTACACTTTAATTTACAGTACGGATAACTGGTCCCAGGATTCTCTGACGTTCCTTCGCGTACCGTCACTTCGAATACAAATATATATAAATATCCATCGGTATATATTTTACCGTCGTTAAATATATCGATTCGTAGTTCGTCCGTTCATATGCAACCTATAACTTTCCTTTGTCCAGTATCCTCCAAGTCTGAAAAGCACAACACTTTTTAACTGAATGACGTAGAAAAGAGAGTCAGAATTTATTATTAACAGCGCCCCTAATCCGATAATTTCGCGATCTAAAGAGAAGCATATATCATATATATAAAAGACTACAATATAAAATATATATATTTTATCTATAAAATAATGTATATAAAATGCCAATGATAAGCAACTTATCAATGTAGAAATCACGATATAGCCTGATGAAATTTTTTTTGATGATAAAGTATCCTTAATGTTCTCGCATATTCCAAATGTAGATACAAAATTATGACAATAGAATTTAGCGAAGATTATGTTGCGTTGCATGTGATGTTTGCAGAAATATATAGATTATATCAAAAGTGCGACGATGCGATATACAATTGACAGAAATGCGACTTTATGTCTGCAATGCAGTTCTTGTATCATTAGTCGAGTTAGACTTACAAGTTAGTTTAGATGATTACTCGAATGAAGCTTTAATTGTGGTTAGAATGTGGGTGAGTTTAAGTTAGGGCTGCCCGGTGTTGACGAGGGTGTTGATGGGGTACCTGGTGGTGATGCTTCCAACGGGCAAACCAAATTGCCAAAATCCACCTCGTTTTTACTCTTTTTTCGTTTCAACGTGAATTGCGATTTCTTTGGTACCTGTTTGAGAAACACGATTATTAAATATGAGACATTAATGTGAGACAAATTACGTCGAGGAAAACGCGCACCTTTAGTCTAGCGGTAAGTGTCAGTGGAACAAAGCCGAGCGTGCTCTCAATCTCCCTTTTTTGCTGAACCACTTCTCTGCCCAGGATTTGATTGAAGTGCGTCGTCAGATGCCTACGAAGCAGAGTCTTCGCCGGTGGAATGCTGAGTAATGTGGCGAGCAATTCGGAAGTGAATCGACCTTCGTGGATCATCAGACCGCCGTGAACGCCGGAGCCGCGCATGTTCGGGGCGTACTCCGCGAGATCCACCACTCGCAGCCACTCCATCACGCGATGATTCGTCCAGAGAGTCACGTTAGTGCCGTCAGCCCCGTTCCCACTCACAGATCTTCTCTCAAGATTGTCGAACTCGAAATTTAAATCCCGCAAAACCTGTCATTTACATCCATGAGTCAAATATCGTAACATACTTATACAGGGTGAGGCAGTAACTATTGCTACCTTGAATATCTTTGAAATATGAGTACTATAAAAATTTATCTAGTAGAAATTGCAATGATACCAACGGTCATCACTTCAAGCATCTTCTGTAAACATAAACTGTCTTCATTCTTATTCGTTTATATATATATATATATATGCTTCAGTTTATACGTTAAGAAAGGACTTGGTTTACAATTTTTTACCTTATTACCACATTCATTAATCCATACTTCTTGTAACCATTTGACTAACCAAAACCTAGTACCTAAATATCACACAGAAACAATGCTTTTCTCATTATTTTCATACAAGTGACTAACAAAGATAAGATGGATGCTTGTGTCGACTATGGTCACTAAGGTCACTGGAAAACGCTCGACGCTCGCTTGTAGTTTCTTCATCAGAACCAATACATATACAATATAATCTCTATATCGCCGAGTACCTGAATTCCACGTCTCAAACTGGCGGCGTGTAACTGTGCGGTCACCCCGAGATTCAAAAGATCCTCCGTGGTCAGCCTGTGCAGAACTCTACCGTCGACTTTCGCGTTGTGAAAGGCTTCCTTGTGCTGAGGTAATCCAATGTCATCCAGCCACCGTAGCACAGCCGCGCTGTCCATCTGCCAACATTGAATACCTTTAATCTAGGTTCTAATCTAGGTCTTGTAACGTTATCAAATTGAAGCAACGCGTCGGTAACCTTGTGAGAGCCGAGGAACCCAGCCCCGTTGCTTCTCTCCGACTCTATGGCGTAGAGCAATTTCTTTCTGTGCAGAGCGCTCTTTATGTCCAGCTCCTTCTCGAGTTGAACCGGCGTAGCGTCCATCAATTTCGGCCCGGTGGCGCCCCATCGTCTCAACTCGCCGGCGTAGCACTCCAGACCGAGGCGAGCTAACCAATCGCTGATCTCTTCCATGGTAAGTTCCGCGAGCGGTTTGGGCGGTAGCGGTTCCACTTGCGCACTCGCTTCACCGATCACGATTTTCTCTTCTTCCGCTGCAGCAACGATATTCATTTTTGCAATTCCACCGTGTCTTTTCAACGTGGTAAAACAGTGTTACGATATTACGTGTATGTATAGCATACGGATAATTAAGTAATGATACATTATATATGAGTATTGCGATTAACCGTAGTAAGTAGCAGGCGAGTTACTTCTCGGTTAAACATAACGACGCGCATGCATGTTACTGTTGCTAATTAATATTGCTGCGAAGTGTTCATCATTAACGACCATTAAACGTGACACCGCATGCTTAGATAAAGATCGATCGGAACCTAGAATAGGAGCGGACAGACATCTCGCAGAGACTCCCCTAACAGCCAAAGGTACCGTCGTATGTGCTCCCGAGACTAAATTTGGAACCTTACCAAATGCTACGCCTTTCTTGGATGTTGGTGGCCTAGGGAGACTACTATATTGGCCGGTATGTCTGCTAAATCTTTCGCCCTGCGAACATTTCGTCTTTTCAAGTAATAATATAATATTAAGTTAATCGACCATTAATTAATGTTAACGTTAACGCATCACAAACCAATATTTGCACGTGCATGCATTTGTGTTTTACCAAAATCCATGAGCACACATTTATAATACAAAGCAAATTTTCTTCTTCATCATTATTTTTCATTAGTTGAATTTAACCTAATTTCAATATTTATAAAATAGTATAAGAAATTCAGTTAGGAAACTTATAAGAATATTTTAATTACAAATTTTAACAATAGAAATACACAATTTAATCGAATTTGCAACTACGTGACACTTCTGTGAAATAAATTAGTTCATGTTTTTATATCAACTTAAAGTGGACAAAATATTTTTCAGAATCTGTATTTTTTGATTTATATACCGTTTTACATCAGAACGTATATTTTCCTGGATTTTTAGATTGGAACATGGATAAAAGAAAGAAAAGGTACACGTTTAGAAGAGAACTTGGAAGATATAGCTTTTCAGACAACTAAACATTTTTTCCATTTCGACTTTAGGATTAAATGATCTTTTAAATTTCACACTTATTTTCAAATTTCACCTGGTCCCAGAAAAAATTTTTAAAAGGAGAGTAGCGACCCGTAAAGCATTAATACTGAGATTTATAATATAATATATATAGATATACTAACATTCGATAAGGGACTTGAACTGCGTAGCGCTAGGTTCTCGTGCTCCAAACTAGCCTGCCTGAGTTTCATTTCGGACAAGGAGGTGAGAAGTTCCAACTTTTGCGTCTCTAAAGCGCTTCTCGACAGAACCTCCTTAAAAAAAAAATAAAAAAAAAAAAGAGAGAGAGCGAACGTAAAGCCCATTCACACCCAACTTGATAATATTCGGACCCAAACTACAACGACAATATATAAAAATAACAAATAACAGATCGTCTCACCTTTTGCAACGCTTCCTCCATCTGCCTCAGAGAATCTCTCTTCTCTTGGAGTATGCCCTCCAGCTCTTGAATCTTACTCGACTGCGCGTCGACTTGTTCCGACAAGACCGATACTTCCATATGCAATGCTCCGCGTTCGCTCTCCAACTTTCTCAGCCGCTCCTGAAAAGCAATTTAGCGAGGTCAATCATTAGCATACAGTGCCGAAGAAAGCCTCCAAAGAGCTGCGTAACATGAAGGTCTCGTTGTTCAACGAGAAGGAAATAACTCATGGATCGGGAAATAACTCATGGTTCATGTGTAGCGCACCAGAGCCGAAGGTTTTTTTTTTTTATTCGAGAGCTCTCTCGTACAGAAATACCTCGGTTTTATTATGACAATTATTCATGCACATATTGCTGCCGCAGTGGAACTGCTGCAGCGAACAGTAGTGGTGCGGCTTGTCCCTCTCGTGGCAGATCAGATCGTTCTGAGACATGGCCCTCTGATCGCGGTCCACTCTGCTGCGCAGTCTGCGCCGCCTCCTGTCCAGAGAACCGCCGCATCTTCCCGTCGAGCTCACAGGCAAGGACGCGGTGCTGTTCGTTCTGCTGCCCGCGTGTATTCCGCGTTCCTTCATGAACATCAGATTCTGCTGCGCGTGACAGTGCGGATAGTGACCGAGGTTCTTCGCGTGTTCCTTCATAGCTTGATGCGTCAGCTCACCGGAGACGCTGTAATGATTCGCAAGGAGGGAAAAACTGAGATGAGAACTCTGTAGACTGGATTGAAGGTAAACGGCGAGATATGAAGAAATTTCGGATGCAGACAGACAGTGACCTTGTACACGGTGTGACGCAGAGGGACGGGAAACTTCCCAGATGAGCGGACGCCGGGCAGATATTAGACATACCGGCGGACGCTGCACAGATATTAGGCATACTCCCTTGAAGCGCTATCATCTTAGCATACCCGAGCAAGCAAGCCTACAATGATATTATCAATATCTCACGGCGAAAGATATTTCAGTTGTAATTAAAAAAGGGGTCAATAAGAGTTGAAACAGAATTGGATCATATTGCCTCTGAAATGATGTACCTTAAGTTACATGGATAATTGAATTTTCTGTCCCACTGCATTGATTATGCTTATAATATTATAATTAGTTATTACATATATTATTATAATCATACATGATTATAGCTAATTATAATATTTTGTGTAATTATTTCCAATTATTATTGTTCAATAATAATTAATTGTGATGATTATTATCATATTCTAAAAATTATCACAATTACTAATTATTATGATAACTAATAATTATTATTACAACTGATAGTTATTATAATAATTTTTTATTATTACACACCATTAGTTTAATAGAGTTATATAGTTATAGTCAGTTCCATTGTGCACTAATTATAATCAACCCATGCACAGGTTCTTATTGGCCCATTTTTCATTTTCGATTTGATACCAAGAAAGCCTTAAGTTATTAATTTTTATTTCACTTCGTTCCACCGTGTGTAATTATCTCGCGAATAAAAAGTATATATATGTGGGAAAATACAATTCGCTGTGTGAACTCGTGCGTGTAATAAGAACGTGTGTGTTCGTGCGACTTTTCACTGCTGGATCTCTCTATTTTAGATCTACCTGACACAGACATTCCTGCGATCGGTAAGCAGCTCGGCACGTGATCGCCGGTTCCGAGAGGCCCGCGCTGATGTCTCGCGGATAATCCTCGATATATTCGTCGTCTTCCTCGGAATTCGACGACGTGCCCGACGAATCGTAGCCCTCCGAGGGCGTCCATCGACTGTTCCAACGCTTTATAGTCGAGGCCGCGTCTGACGAGTCCGACTGCGAACCTGCATTTAGATCTACGATCAATCTTTTTTTATTTCAAGCTGAGAAGGTCAAGAGGTTTCTATCGGTGCGTCGGCGGTCTAAGATTTTCCAGCGCGCCCGTCTATTTTTCTTTCACGTCAGGCCACGTTCGATTTGATACAACCCAGTATCAATGTATCAGGGTGGGGAAGTACGCCATTGCTGTTACAAGTTATTTTTTCCTGATAACAATTAAGCATGTATTGCCCATTAGTATCGTATTTTCAGTGGCGCAAGAGAGTCACTCATTAATTCGGTATTTATCAAGCAAAATTACGTTCCTTACGTACATTTATCTCCTTACCTAAGTGATAAGTGTTAATTTAATGAATTTTAATTACAAATATCTCAACTCTCGAATAGTTAATCTTTTTCTAATTGCACGAGCAATGAGTTAGATAATATTTCAATGTGTACGCGATACAAGTTTCATCGAATTCTTATTAAATTCATTTACAACTTCTTTTAAAACAGAATAACTTTTGATCCAGACTCTGAATTATTGTCCAACTTTTGACATTTTAAATATAATGCAGATCAATTTGTGATTTTCTCCATAATTTCTTCATTATTTTCAACTATGGACAATACATCCGACGTTACTCTTCTCGTTAATAAATGTAATGATAACGCAATTATATTTTTCGGATAATGATAATGAGAATCGTTCCTCTCATCGTTATATGCACATATAATCTCCAAGTTTCTTGAAATGAAACCTCACCAAAAACGAGTGAAAATTCACGCGAAACGATAGTGAAAATACTGTCATTCGGAGTCAGGAGTGAACGTTTCACTCTTTGGATTTTCACCTTACCCGAGTAAACGTTTTAATCGACTAGAGCGAGCTTTTGCCCTTGTAAAAAATCGCTCGAATTCGAGTGACTCGGCTGTCATTCTATTTCCCGAATGAAATTTCACACCAAGCAACTTAGAGAGTAAAACATACATAGAATACGCGGCAACGAATCATAAAATAGAAAGATCTTTAACCCAAAGAAACTTCCCCAACCTTGTTATGTGTCATGAATATGTGTGTATGTGTATGAGTGTCTTAACAGAGATTGAAACAATAATCGGACGGCGCATCGAGCGAAGTCGAGTCAATGAACGTGCGTCTTCGACGGTCAACCGGTCCGCGTGCACCGCGGTTAAGGCGATCTATTTCGAGATCGCGATCCATTTATTTCTCCATCAGAGGCATAACTACGGTGCACTGGCCAGCCGCGTGATTTTAGTACCGAATCACGTCGGGTCTCTCGATCGCGAGAGTCTGTCGGACGTCTGCCAAGTTATGTCGTATCATTAAAGTATCCATCTGAATGTCATGGCTTTGCTCGCGAACAGATCGTCAATCGTAAAGCTACACAATTCTCGCATATTTGCTCGCGCAATTGCTTCCCTGTCGATATCAATTAAACCTCGACTTCCCGTGTGACCGGAGAATTTGATGTCGTCCATACGGTTAATTTAAATCCCAAACGTGTCTTCGATCGAGACACATAAAAAAAAAACTCGGTTCCTCCAACTGAACAGGGACTGGATGAAAAATCGGTGACAAAAAATGATACTTCCCATTACGACTGGACACATTTATGCAGGGAAAAAAACAATTCCGTTGGTGTAACCTGAATTTTCTGTCGCCTGGAGGCCAGAGAATTCGGTTGTAGAAACAGAAAGAACCTCCTGTAGAAGATTCCTACTCAATCAATTGTTCTCAATTGTCTTAACAGAGTTTTAATGCAGCTGAATGTTCATACGAATGTTCTCAGCCGCAGTAACAGAGATATTGCGTCTTGTCAGCGAGTTTTCACTGATCCTTGTTCAGATGCAGAAACTGAATTCTTTCTCCCCATGTGTGAATATTCAGCTGCATTAAAACAAATAAAAATTGAGACAACCGAAAGCGACTGACTAAGCTGAAACCTTCTACGAGAATCTTTCTGTTTCTATACTTAACCGAGTTTTCGTCTAGTCTCCAGGCAACGGAAAATTCAGCAAGGGGAATTGTTTCTTCCGTGCATGACACGTCCGTCGAGGAATCCATTTCGAATTAACACGCGTTGATCCTGTTTTACATCAAATCCTTCGATTTCGTGTACCTGCGCCGCAATGATCAAGAGGTGGAGAAAGAGAGAGGTGAAACCTTTCGCTTGTCCCTTATCTTCTTCCTCCATTATAGGCGCGAGATCCTTCCGTTCTCCGGTGATACCGTCGCTCCAAATGTTCTCCATGATAAGTGCGTTCGCGTCCTGTGTTTCTTTCCTCTATATTATTACCGTCTTCGCTTTCCTCGTTGAGCTCTGTATGCATACGTGCATCGCCAACCTGGATCCGCATCAGTAACAAGTCTGTTCAATGAACCGCGCATCGAAACCTCGGAACATCCTCACCGGCGGAATTGACAGTTCTGTCGCTTATTTTCCGCGACGGTGTCACCGTTAACTTAATGGACACTCGATGCGATGACGTCGATAGACACGCTGCACGCTGCGTGAAGTGCATTTAGCACCCTAATATCGGCGCGTTCGTACACAATCGAACGTTATCTTGACGAGGTGCACTCTCGCGCTGCCAGCCGCGACATCGTCTCCAACGAAACTAAAATTAACACCACGAAATCCTTCGAGAAGAGCGCGGGAGAGAGAGAGAGAGAGAGAGAGAGAGTAGGAGAGAGGCAGACAGAGAAGAAAGAGAGGACGCGCGGTGGCAATTTATAAATAGATTAGTGTTCTCTCTCTCTCTCTCTCTTTTTTTCTCTCTTTCTTTCTTTTTGTTGCTTAGATCATTAGACGGATCTCCCTTTCTCTCATCTGGTTGCTCGGACTGATAGGAAATATCGGATAAGTTCGAAACGGATAATATGCTATCATTGTTATTTTATCATCATCTTTATAATAAACTTGTATTCGTATGTTTATATTTGTCGTGCAGAATTATCACCGAGTTTATATTATACTTACCTCTCGCGAATTCCGACCATAATCTAGTTCAAAAGGCCACCTCGCGCTGGGAAAGATATACGATGTAGCATCTTTCGCGCATATACTTGGAATCGTCACACTACCGCGTCTGCCTCTTGTTAGCGAATACATGACTGTCACAACACATCATTCGAGAGGGCAGTGTCACTAAGGGCCGTCGTATCAACAGTCGTTGCTCGAAACTTATCTCAAGTAAGACACTCAGACCTGAATTCACAGCTAGATTAAATTAGACTCAACTGAGAAATTCAGATCTAATTGCCAATTAAAATCTAAATTCAGACCCGAGTATCTCACGTTAGACAGGTTTCAAGTAAAGATTGTTGATACAGGCTGCACAATAAAAAAATTGGATGTTAAATTCAACACGTTTCACGTGCCCCAAACGGTCCACAGAAACGTTTGTGTCAATTTAACATAAGATGAGAATGTTGTAATATCACACAAATATCATGTCAAAAATTAATATGTCGGTCGATACTGAAATATAAAATCAACATTTACAAGTGTCAAAAAAGCGACTCAACGCAAAATATATTTAAGAGATAACGCAATATGTTAAATTAACAGACGGGTATGTCAAAAATTCAACACAATTTTAATAAGGACCGATTTTAACACAAGTATAAAATGTTTTTTCACTGTTTACTAAGAAAATGACAATGATCGGTCGGTCACCGAAACCAAAAACTGATCTCCCACGGCTGATTTTGCCCGTTCGATCGATCGATCAACATCACACCGGTCTGTCAGTCACGTACGGTGTAGCGATTATAAAGTTAAATGTCCGGATGTACGCGGACATACGTGACCGGCGTGCGGTTATCGAACACGCGCGCGAACACGTGCGCTCGGCGAGAAAGACGGAGAGAGAAAGAGAGAGAGAGAAAGCGTGTACCGGATGTACACGGTCGCGAGGTCCGGATGCACACAACGTACACACACGTGTTTCCGCGTCGGCATCTGCTATCGATCGGAAAACTTACATTTACGTGGCGTTAATCGCGCCGTAAAAAGCGGAAGTCACGATGGGCCACGAGCGGAATAAAATCAGCGCCCGACAAGGACGATCCTTTTTCTCTCTCTGCTTATCCCTTCCTTATCTTGTTCTACTTTGATTCCGCTTACCGGTTGCATCCACTGCAAGAGGATGTCCTCGGTGGCTGCGTCGGGCGGCGGGGGCGGCGTCGGTGCGGTCTTTATCACGGCTACGAGATTCCTCGTGGCCTCTTTTACCGAATTCTTCCATTCCGAATTGCCCTCGGCGGAGCTTTCGGCGCAAGCTCCTGTAAACATAATAAGTCGTGAGAAACCACAGTGCATATAGAACAGAGAGCGATCGTAATAGATGTCAATTGAAGTTCAACGCAGGAATGAGGTTAATCATTGCGTCGCTCCAATTTAAAGCGTAGTGAAATCGTATTTTAAGTGGACCCCACAGATTTAGGACATGTTCCTGAACCAAAATTCCTTCGATTGTGTAGTAACAAAGTAATTACAAATAAACAGTAATGATATTTTTTTGTCTTGCTTATATTAAGGATTAGAAATATAATCAAATATTTTTAAATGAAACACATTTGAAAGTCTATAGAGAAAGCTTCTATTATTTTTAATCAACAATGTAAGTTGAATACCTCATCAAAATTTACTAAAAAAATACTGTTTACACACAACACAGCTAAAGTAGAAACTGATAAGAGGAAAAGTCTTTTAAATACTTTATTAGAAATTAATTTTATATTGATATTTCTAATAGTAGGTTGAGTAATATATTCAGATAAAGTCCAGAAATGCTTTTTTTGAACTACCTGATTTATATATATACAAATGTTAAGAAATATATTCAAAAATTTACTTTTTCATTTTTCTGTTGACAGAAATCCATACATCCGCATTAAAGCCTACATTAGAGCCTGAATACATCTATGAATCTAAATCTTACCAGAAATAATGTCGTCCATTTGCAGCAATGCAGCTTCCAGCATCTTGCTGGCCTCACTGGAGCTTTTTGCCAAAAACGGCGACTCACCCGCCTGAGCCGTCGTGCCGTTTCTCTCCTCACCCTTGCCCATCACTTAACACTGCAACAGAGATAATCTTTGTTATACGTTGTCTCTTGAGTAATTTTTAGACAACACAAATGTTTAAAATATGTCTTAGAGACATCTAAGGCAAATAGAATATTTTTTAGACATTACACTGCTTGGGTTCTTCTATATACATGCTACGATAATTACCGAATATTATAATAATACTATTATTATAATAAGAGTTTTTTTTTCTGAATTAATTAATATCTAAAACGTCTATATCAGACAAATTTTTCCTTCTTTCCTTTAATATGTGATTTCAGTTACTCAACATTATTTCACGATAGGTTATTAATTATAATAGTTAACTGGCTCGTTAATTAATATAAATTAAATTGGATACGTGTACGTCCTGGCCAAATAAAAACTACATTACATGAATGAAGGCATGAGAAACGAGCTTGGTCGATGATAAGCGACGAAACCAAAAAAACACTGCATATGCGAGGAATACATCGCCCACGCGACATTCTTCTTATCGGCGATAAGAGGCACGAGTTCATTCGGCGCGATCGATCGCAGAAAAGAAAAACATTTGGTGAGAACCCAACGGGGGAGAGGAGAGAGAGAGAGAGAGAGAGAGATCAAACATCATCACGATCACTCGCACCGATGACGTCAATATCTTACCGTGTTGTCTCATGATAACAACGACGGCAGACCGAAGAACGAGCAGATTATGGTTAATACAACAGCCGAAACTGCGCCCCGATATAACGTGCGATCTAACTGACGATCAACAGGTAACGGAGAGCAACGCCCAGCATTTTGCCACCATAACGTGCTGCTCTCGTCTCACGTCTCTGTCACTTCGGCTGCCCCTTCTCTCGCTCTATCTCTTTCTCTCGCTAAATTCCGCCGATCATTCTCCGCAGGAGCAGAACTGCGCGGAAAACTGTGCGAAAGAGGAAGTAATTTCCTTCGATATATCTTTCAGATATATTTAACGTGATATATCGCACTGTTATCAACGCGATTGTTCCCCCGATAAGTGTAGAAAACACACGAGTGCGTTGTCCGTGATCTTATCTTACATGCCAGGCTAATTACAACTCTCCCTTGTGTGATGATTAAAAATACATGCAAATGTTAAAGTGTATATAAATACGATATTCTTCGTAAAAATTCGTTAGATTGGATCGACACGAGCAGAAATTGATCAAAAAATACGCGACATTTGGGAATTGTAGGTTAGTTCCATCTGTCAGAGCTCATCGGTTCGGCCTCGATATTTCCGCGAAAAGTCGAGCGGACGCGAAAAAATGGGAAAAAACGACAAGCTCGATCGCGATGAGCGCGCGGAAACGGTAAATCAGTACCGAAAATGCGCGGTGTATTTGAAGATTGCCGATCACCGTTGATTACCTGTGCACGTCAGCCGGGAATCGCGAGCCTGTCGTGGGCGGCCGTCGCGTGTTCGGTAAACATCGGTCGGCTCGCTGCGAAGGCCGGGGATTCGCGAGAAAGCTGTCGCACTTCGGTGCCGGTCACGATGACAGCCGCGCGACGATCGTCTTCGTGCGTCCCACGCGAAACCAAAACACAGAGGGAGAGAGAAAGAGAGTCAAAACAAGAGCAGCTGTGTATACACACACACACGTCGTGCGACAAGCGCAGCGAAGTGCGCCGCGAGCACGTCCGAGCGAGGCGCGATCTCTCGTGAAATCGAGAGATCGCGCGGGATCGCCGCGAAAATTCAAACAGAGATACGGAGTTCGCGCGGAGTCGGAACGCGATTGCTCGATGAATGAAGTGTTGAATCAACGCCATGTTATGTATTCGTTTTCTTGATCGCACCCGAGTCGAAATTTCAGTCCTACCTTAAGTCTAATTTAGTTCCACATTAAGTCTTCAACGACTTTCTATTATGTTTCTTTGGTGCTACAAATAGAGAAGTTATTATCGTTTTCTCCACTTCAGAACTTAATGCAGAACTGAAATCTTCTTATGTAGGATAAAAATCAAGACTTTAAAAGACTAAATTCTTATTGTAGCGTTAATACTATCGACGATTAACGTTTATCTTTCGACCGGAGTAAATAAGATAAGATAATAAGTTTAAATAAAATAAAAAAAATATGTAATGCAAAGGAAAAAAAAGATATTTATTCGTTTACGCATCGCGACAAAAATTACGGTTAATCTTAGAGAGAATGTACTATTAGAAAATGGAATAACTTTTATAAGAAAAAATTACTTACCGATCATTTGGACCGCTTTAGTAGTTTTAGTGTTAAAGAAGTACTTATTGTGCTCCTTTGATGTTATAAGTAAGAACTTATTTTCTCCCTTTGAAGACTTAATGTAGAATTAAAAATTTCAACCTGGGTAGTCACAATAGGCTTTTGCGCCAACGCACAATGCGTGATCACGAGGATTCGCGCACAATAAAATTGAATCGGTAGTCGGGTCACCGGAATGTCGCAACGAATGCGGCCGCTCTCGTCCAAGGTTGCTAATAACAATTGCTAATAAATTCGTGGTTTCGAATATGAAACAGTTTCAATATAACGTTCTCCAAAATATGTTCTTTGAACGTTTGGAACGTATTTTTTAAAAGAAACGTGCACGATACAAATTTGTTTAAAATATACAAATTTATTTTACATGTACAAATTTATTTAAAGTGTTTCTAAAGTTCTGGATATATTTTAAACGTGTATACTATAGAAGGAAACTTAGCTATTTCATAGGCCATTTGACATAGTGTTGTAAAATAAATTAAATAAATAAAATAAATAGCTTAAAAAGGTTGTAAGACTCAATGTCGTATTTTCTGGAACGCATCAAGGAAACCATTCATAAATTTAGTATTTATCGGGGAAAATTACGTTTTTATACTTTTATTTCATTATCTAAATAATAAATGTTAATTTGAGATAAAGTTGCGGTAAATGTATGTTAGGTTGTTCGGAAAGTACGTTTCAAATTTTCTACGTAAGTTCAGGACGCAATATTTTATTCACAGAGTAACTTTAGCAAGTTTTTAGTTTAAGACATTAAAACTAACACGCTAATCTCTCTCAAAGAACACGTAAAAAAAGCGTCTTTATTTGCAAGCATTTCAGCTCTTAGACGGTCAATTTTCTTCTAATTGCAGCTGTTTCAACAACGAGCAGTTCGATAACATTTCAACACATACATAGTGCAAGTTCCATGGAATTCTTATCAAACCTATTTCGCCTCCTTAATAAGCTCCTTAACGTTAACGCTTAACCTTGCCTCGTCTTCTTACTCGCCAATATTCGCAGCGCACGATCGCTTTTTTTCCCCGACACGATACCGAGTCGCGCGGTCGACGTCCAATGGGGAGAATTTGCTTCCGAGCAATCCTCGGGGGGCAGCTTCCTCTCTTTGTCGACGTCGAGTGTGTTTCGAAACGCGCCGACGAAAAAAGAAGCGTTCTGCAAACCGTTCGGCAAATGAACGCGTATACACGGTGTTATTACGCCATACCGCGGGCGAGACAGCGCATGACGTTTGACAGGAGTCGGAGGTTGATTACGCCGCCGCTGTTGATTGCCAACTTCGAGTCACGCTCTCGGCGCGAGGTTATGTTCGCCGTGTGCATGCCCATCGGCCGAGCGAGACTTCGATCGCGGAGAATTCGCGCGGAGCCGCGTGAAGTTCGCCGAGATTCGCCGTCGACGGTGCGTTCCGCTTCGCGTCGACGCTTCGCGAGTGGATCGGCGCGCGATCGCGGTTAGGTGATCATCACTTCGTCACCGTCGTCGTCCTCCTCCTCGTCGCCTCGTCGTTCGCGTCGGCAAGTTGGCAGCAGTGCGCGCCGCTATCGGGCGAGCGAGAATACGGATATCTCGCACTTCCGTTACATTTTATTCGTGTGTGCGCGGGGCGGGGAGAAAATAAAAGTATGCATACGGTCGCGATGCGTGCGCGACGGTCGTCGTGAGTGTTGTACGGGGCGGACGAGCGAAATTCCGGAGGCGCCGCGAGGAAGGTGGCCCGTCGTCGTCGTCGTCGCCGTCGTCCCTCCCCCCGTGGAATGTGAGTAAGTGGTCCGTGCTGCACGCGAGAGGTGTCCTCCCCGGTGGTGTGCCCTCCCCCCCCCCTTAACCCTTCTCTTCGCCCCCCCCCTTTATCGTTTTTTTCTCACCTCCTCCGCCGTCGCGCGCGCGCGCGCGGCCGCAGAGAGAGAGACTTTCCGCGGAAAAGCCGCGAAAACTACGTCACGAGTGACGGATTCGGTCGAAACTGGGACAAAGTGCAGTGCACTCTGGCATTGCGCTTTACCACCAGGTGTTTCTATGCCGTAATCTTCCCAGGATTGGGTAATACTCGTACCGTTGCACCTTGCTCTCTCGTACGTACACGGCCCGAGTTATATTCGCGCGATTGTACTCTTTCGCGGATCGCTCGAAGGCTGACAGCGCCTGAGAGACCGAGAGGGAGAGAGAGAGAGAGAGAGATAGAAAGAGAGAGAGAGAGAGTAACGACGGCCCCGCGGAGAGAGAGCTGACAGGTAAAGAGGCATCGGACGCGCGGATTGCGGTGCAGATGCGAAGTACCGCGGGACACGACGGCCTGCCGTATGTATGTGCGTACGTGAAACTCGTGTTGTCGATAGGAAACAACCTCCTCTCGCGCGGAATTCTCGAGTTGCGGACGGCGACCGTGCGGGCGAGCGAGCGGGCGATCTCTTCCGACGGCGGCCGTCGCGGAATCATCGCGAGCGAACGTGGTGGACGAACGTCGCGAGCGAACTTCGTGTGTTATGTAGGACACGATGTCGGCCGCTCGCACGGCGTATGCTCGCCTCCTCGCGAGCGCGAGCTTCCGTTCGGTCTACCTGGCGAAATATGGAACGCGCGCGACCGACGATATCGATTCTCTCGCGTAGCTCGCGGACAATCCCGCCCGTTGACGAGACGGAGGCGTTTAAAGGGACTCTTTAAATGGACTATTTAAATGGGCTACTTAAACGGGGCAACCCGAGTACCCTAGTGTACTCGAGGCGCTTCGACGTTTGTAGACGCACTCTGTAAATTCCACACGAACAAAAACACGAAACATATATATACACACATATGTACATGCATACACATTGTGCTTACCTCTCGTGATTAAAGTGAGATATTTTGCACTTGTGGCAGGTTAAATGACGGACTCAAGATAGTCCTTCCGCCTGGTAACATGTCAGATGGGGTTGACGGCGGTGGTGGGGAAAACGAGGTAGACTCTCATTCCTCTTCGCACGCTGAGGCTGGAGACTCTTCCAATCACAGGGAAGAAGAGGCATTGGACGCTGACAACGAGGCGGCTCTCAATACCAATTATGACAGTAGCGACGGAGCTGTCCCTGCGTTTAGGTGAGATTCGCTTTTGTGTCAGATTAACGTCGTGCACAGGTGGCAACGTGCCAGGGCATAACAGGTGCTTTTCATTCGCGTGACTTGTGTCGACACAAAGCCATTTTATCGGTCGCCTTACCTCGAGATAACACACAGGCAATAAAACAGCCTCACTCGAGCACAGGTCGACAGGTGGAAAGTACCTGATGTTCCAATGTGACAGGGTCATATTTTTCAAGTGAAATGCTTGTTCCCGTGTTGTTATCCTGCTGAAACGATTGCACACTTCTCATTGCTTCTCCGCAGATGTGATAGATGCGACAATTATGAAACTATAAACAAGACGGCTTTCTCCGCACACCAAGATCAATGTCTGGCAAGTGGCGAGGCTGGGGAGAGCACTGAGGGTATAGAGGGGGCGGAAAATGACGGGGATGGAGAGGAAGGCCATTCAGGGTTACGGTCTCATAGAAAAATGTTCGAGTGCGACGTGTGTAACATGAAATTTTCCAATGGAGCCAACATGAGACGGCACAAGGTAGGTCTGAGAGGAAGATACTACGCGGAGATCTATCGAGTGTTATGCGCTACATGTCGTGTTTTTTAGATGAGGCATACGGGGGTGAAGCCGTACGAGTGTCGGGTATGCCAGAAGAGATTCTTCCGGAAGGACCATCTCGCGGAACACTTCACGACGCACTCGAAAACCTTGCCATACCATTGCCCGATCTGCAACAGAGGTTTCCAAAGACAAATCGCGATGCGCGCTCACTTTCAGAACGAGCACGTGGGCCAGCACGACATGGTCAAATCGTGTCCTCTCTGTAACTACCGAGCGGCGACCATGAAATGCCTTAGGTTGCACTTCTTCAATAGGTGAGTCGTAACTCTTGCGATTCCCTCCCACGCTCCTAGGGGCGCCTTGCGCGATCGAGAGGAATTCTTTACCTACTCACATATTCTTTCTCTCACATAGACACGGGATAGATTTAGATAATCCAGGACCAAATAGCTCTACGTCCATAATGAATAGTTGCACGCCCGGGGAGGCCATGCCATCGGCGCCCTTGTCCGACAGCGGAGACAGCACTGGCAACCGTTCGACCGACAACGCTACACCGCCCATGCATTTCCTCACGCCTCACGTGGAGATATCCATTCCTTATCCCGAGCAAGCTGCCAATCAGCGGAACCCGAGCCCTGCCCCGTTAAACGGAGATAGTCCCAACAGTCCCCAAAGCGCAGATAGTAATAGCAACGCGCCGAGCAGTAGTCATCATCAATTACCCATCAACAGCAGCACCATCCATAGGTGAGCGTCCTAACAAACCGTGAACGATATTCAGTCGTCACTCGTTGCACCATCGGTCATTATTTATTTATTATTAATCGATAATTATTTAATGTCACTAGAGATTACTTATTGTCAAGAGAGGATTTTTTTATTCGCGCGTAACATGGAAGATAAAGCACGTAAAGTGTGTGTGACAGGTGAATATCTCCAAATATTGACGGCAGAAAATTCTACTAGGCAAAGCCGAGGTGTGTCTCAAAAGTTTGGATATATTGATTTTTCTCTGTACGAATACATTGAGGATATTGCAAAGTTGCCAGCGTTCTTTTTAAATGAAACCATATCCAGCGAGAAACGAGCGAATCGACGTTGAATCGACGTCTGTTCAATGTAATTTCAATTGTTTCAACGTCGATTCGATGGTTCATTTTTCGTTGGGTGTATTTTTAAATATGCACACAATCGTAATGTATATTGAAACAAATTCATTCCTCGATGCATTCATGCGGAGAAAAATAAATATATCCAAATATGTAACCTTTGAAACACTCGAATTTTGGCTCATAAAATTTCCCGTCGTCAATATTTGGAGATATTCGCCGTTTATATTATTGGAAATATTCACCTGTCACGCTTTACGCGCTTCGCTCTGTATGCATTATCTCGGCAAGATCTCAATTATGTATTTCCGACTGATAAAACAGTCGTACGCTGAAAATCGCAGATTTCCAGCGCCAGAAAGGCGGACAATTAGTCGCGCTCCAGATGCGCTGCGCGAATTACGCGAGAATCTGTATTTTCCTCAGGAACGTGAGTGGGGGAGACGAAGCCATTACACCGTCGATCTCCTTGATCCCCATCAAGCAAGAGCCGAACAGCAATGGTATGGACGACACGGGCGCGACGTCGAGCAATCTCCCGCTGCCGTCTCTGATTAAGGTGTCGCCGCTGAAGTCGCTGTTGCGGGACGACTTGCGCCGCAAGCTCTCCACCAGCTCCACGAACAACAACAACAACAACAACAGCGGCAGCAGCAGCAACAACAGCGGCGCGAATTCCAATCCGCACTCGAGGGGCGAGCCGCCCACCTCGACGAGGCCGGATCCGCGCACAAGTGGCCTCCAGTGTACTCACTGTAGAATTACGTTTCCGGATCAGACGTTGTACTTCCTCCATAAAGGTTGTCACAGCGAGAGTAACCCGTGGAAGTGCAATATTTGCGGGGAGCAGTGCTGCAATTTGTACCAGTTCAACTCGCATTTACTGAGCAAGAGTCATCAGTAGCGTGAGACGAACACACCTGCGACTAATTTGGGTCTTTCTTTATCGTTTCTTCTTCTTCTTCTCCTTCTTCTTCTTCGTCGTCGTCGTTGTCTTTTCTCTCTCTTCGTTCTTAAACAACAGCGGCGGGAGATTGGATATGTACGTATGCAATGTGTGTATGTACGCTGTGCATATGCGTTCAGTGTTCATTAACATGAGGGTGCAAATATTTTCTGCGACGTGTCCAGACATACTCCTCCGCCAAGAGTACCTTCAAAATCGTGTGCGCCCGTTCCTTCGTAGTACGTGACACGGTGAATGAGTCAATTGTAAATTTCCGACGTTCGAGAGAAATCGAGAGTAAGAGAGAGAGAGAGTATGTCTGTGTTCTCTCAGAAAATAATGTACAAAGCGCGACAAACTTGTGCCTTTTCACTAAGAGAGAAAGAAAAAAAAAAATCGAGAGAGGGAATAAGAAATTGCCAACACACACTCGTCCATCATGCTGTTGTACGAACTATCCGTCCATAGGGCTTTATCGAGATATATTCCGAGCTCTGTCATTAGTCTTAAATTAGGTAAATAAGTATGGAGAACTTCGACGGGGCTAGTCGCGCGTCGCCCCGGTCGAGGGAGAGAGATCACGAGAGATATAAAGTAGCTATACGCCGTACTTTCGTCGCGGAAGAGGAAGTACGCTGAAATTGCGAATGAATAGATAGATAGATAGAGATACTATCTAGTTCGCGCCGTTGATGCTCAGCACGAGTGCTCGAAGAAACGAACATGACGACGCGGACACGGCCCGAAGTCCCTCTTACGTACCCCTCTGTGATGCACAGAATAACGCAATCAGCAAGATTTGCAAGTGGTAAGCGAATTGGCCAATCACATTCGAGGATTGCCAAAAAAAAAAAAACCATCCGGTTGAAATTTCCGACTGTGATCGATCGATTCGCACGCTGCTCGAATCTCACTGCTCACGTTTCCTCGCGTGTCCACGGCCCTTGCAGATGCAGATTTGACAAATTTGGAAGAACGTCCCGTGTTGGTCAACGGCATATCGACCGTGCGGATATTGTTGCGCAGCAACAATTCGTCACGGTCAGCGGTGCGCTTTCGAGATATCGTCGGGTCGTCTGTTCACTTGTTTCTTTTTTTTTCTCTTTTTTTTTCTTTAGATAGGAACGCATCGCGTTCGTATAGCGAGCCTGGTGAAAATCGGAGGGCAATGATGTACAGGGCATAAAAGCCAGCCGGGCGTGCGTTACTATTATATACGATAGGCAAGTTCGAGAGATCTGACTTTTGGCCGAAGAGAGAATGCTGGGACGGTATGGCGATGCATGACTTCGTTTCGGCCAAGATCACTTTTCTTCGCCTTTTGCCTTCGATTCAATGAATATTTTATATATAAATATTTGTACAGAAAAAAAAGTATTAGGAGAGAAGCACGGAGGAAGAGAAAATCCGAAAGATAGCAAATATATATATAAATATATAAATATATATATAAATATATATATATATATATACGAGGAAAATGTATACACGTAGAGAATATCACATGTATACAGACACACATACACACACATGTACGCGCGAACACTGCTGTAAATGGTTGTAGTTATTTAATAACTATTCTGTATATCGCGTATATAGTATTTAATACGATTATAATTATTTATTAGAGTGTAAGTAATTTATTATTGCTTTGCATTCCAAGAGACGAGATACACGGGACTACGATTAATTAAGCGAATAATATCTTAGCGTTAACGGTGCTTTTTTAATAGAGTCGATTCGCGCATGTCATTTTTAACCGGGCGAATTCTCTCACATATACACACACATATAACGAAACACACACGTAATAAAAAAAGAAAGAGAAAAAGAAACAAACAGAGAGGGAAAGATCTACTGGACAGATCTCGCGCGAGTAAACGAATGCAAGTATCACGAATTATCCTTGATCGATATACGTAAGAATTCGCCGTCGCCGCGAAAACACACTATTTTGTACGCAGAGAGCACGTTCATAATTAGACACGTTCGTCATTCGCACTTTTGATCCTTATTAAAGCATCATTGACGTACAAATCTTTTTAGATACCTTTACAAAGCCGCGCGCGCGCTGCGCGTTCGCCGTACTCTCGCACGGATCCTCGGTGGAATCGTGAACAAAAAAGTGCCTGATTGGGATAACGTCTCTTTGAAAACAAAAAGGGAACTGCGCGCGTGTTATTCGTGATAAGGAAAGAGACGAGAGTGAGGGACGTAGAAGAGCGACGACGGAAGGAAAAGGAGGAGGAATAGGAGGAAGGAAATGTGCGAAAGGTGCAATTTTGCTCGAGCTGTCCCGCGTAAGAATAAAAAAAAAAGAATACGAAAACGGACCAGGAGCGTACCCGTGTTCACCATATGTGCTTACTGCTTAGCATATAGCGACGCCTTTACACTGTGATCACGTTTACAAAGAAAATAGTCTTAAAGCTAGAAGATAGACGTAAAGGTATATCTTAGGGCGGCGAGAGTACGACGAACACGGTAATTCGAGTGTAAGACAGGCAGTTTAGACACCACCCCATCCATCCATCCACCCACCCACCCATCTCCTACCCTTTCATTTGCCCCTTTTCCCCCTTTATTTATACACGACATACGGATAAAGATATATTTAAATCGATAAGAATGGAAAAAAAATATTGTTGATGTTACTACGGTGTAATGGGTACAATCTAAATACATGAATATTATGTATATAAGAATAGAACACGGAAAATTTTTATCGTAACACGTTTATTACTCGTTTACTCCGTTCTTTGCTCATTAGCCACTCTCGTTGACTAATCCTCTGTTTGTGAGAACCCGAGGCGGTGCAATTACCGTGTGAACTTCACGGTCTCCGTGTCTCCGTCTTCGACGATCGTTCATCGTCGAAAATCTTAATTACAACGTTGCATGCGATTTTTCCTGACAATAACGCGTTGAAATTGCAGCTGAAGCGATCAATGCGTATTCGCGTTTCCGTTAATTCCTTGAATTTCGGTTTTTTTATTCTAGCAATTTAGCGTTATTTTCATAGAAAAATATCGGATAAATATAAATAATATTTCAAAAGTTTGATTTGAAAAATAGTTTCAATAGAAACAAATTTCAAAATTTTACCGTAGAAAATGAGAAAATCCGTCTTTTGCAAAATAAGTAATCTATCATTTTTATTTGTAAATATATTAAATCTCTTCTCTTTATAGCTGCATTAAGTTCAGTCATCTGCACTTAAAATTAAATAGACGCATATTTGACGCTTTGTGAGAGAAGAAAATAAAATAATTACTTCAGAAAGCTATAAGAAACATATTAATTATATACTCCGAGATACATTAGAATTCAAAAGGGTAAATAACGGAAACTATCGCGCTTACATGAAATGTTTCAGAAAAGATCGGCGAGAAATGGATATATTTTCGCTCGATAACAAGAAATATTCTGTATGTATTATAGGATTTATCAAAAATATGGAATATCTGGAGAATTGACATTACTTTAACACTTTTTTACATAATAATACGAGAGAAATCGATTACTGATATTAATCATTGATGCATCGATGCATTTGCAAAATTTTGCAGTCAATTTTCTATTAAGGTTTCTCTATATTTATTTACGGCGATCGAATTCACCTGTTATTCTATATGCTAAAGTGATGTTACTGAAAAATGAATATTTTATGAGATTTTTCATACGAGTATACTGAAAAATATCAGAATAAAAAGTAAAATACCTCGAAAAGTATTCACTTTTCGATGACTTCATCCTAGTACTTTTACACGCGGAACGAACGGAGGAATCGATCTGTGTTAAAAAAAAAACTATATGATTCCATTTAAAAAAAATGACCTTGAATTATTAATTATACAACAAAGTTAAGGTCACCGTCTTATGTCCCCCTCCAAACCCTACAACTTATGTCTGAATCATTTTTTTGTCAATTGCTGTGTTCTCAAGATATTCCATCGTTTTCACACTTTTGATAAATCCTGTATATCGCATATACGTAATTTTCCAATTTTCCGAGTCCTTTTAATGGCTTCCGGGAGTGTGCAAATAAATAAGACACTCGCCGATATGAGTATAATATCGAAGTCTCACTTTATTATTCGCGTACCATGTGTATGAATACAGAAGCGCGTTATATTACAATATTCGTCGCGTTAAAGCTACCAAGGGAAAAGGAGAGAAATAAATAGAGTCTCCGCGTGTCGCTCGTCGCTCGAGGCGCGCTCGAGCTCCGGGACACGGCAGGAAAGCGTCTCCTTGCGAGCGAGCATGCTTCGCCTCCCGCGAGTCGCGACGAGTCATCATTAATTCGCCGGAGAGAGCGGGAGATATTCCTGCCGGATTCCACCTGGATCCGACCTGAATGCAACGCAACGGCGAGCAACCTCAATTTGTCCGTCGAGCGTTCTATCGTCGCTCTCTTACGCTAAAGTAACTCGAACTCTGCTTTTGCACCAACGATGCCGGATAACTGATCCAGTCGACTTCCTTAATTAGCTTCGCCGTAGCGATCCAAGTATTATAGCACCATCGAGATAATAAGGATATCTTACTGTAGGATTAAAGAGAAAACTAAAACGAGGAGTGATTTTACTGCTAAGAAAAATCAGATTATACATATAAATTAAATATTATATAATAGATTATAGGTATAAATTAAAATTTTCGCGGGAAATCCAACCCTCTGCGGTCCGAATCGTTTCTGACTTTTCTTCTCTCAACCGATCCGCGTGGAAATTCATTTACTTCGCGATATTATCGCATAGTTTGCGCGTATTCCAATGTTTTAGTATTTATTTAGCGAAACAGCACACATGTACAATTGTATATTTACATTAAGGTTGCTGACTACTCGCTACAATCGTCCTTGTTTGATGACGTCTGAAGCGAGAGAACGCATGCCAAGAATCTTTATACGTTCAAATAAAAACATATATTCATAAAGCGACATTTGTAATCAATTCAGTACTCTTGTAAAAATATCGGAACGCTTTTCTTTTACTCGAACAATCAATAAGATGTAAAATTAACATTGATAAAATCATAAGAAAAAAAGGTTAGAAAAGAAGTAAATAAAAGTGTTCGGTTAATTTTATAAAGCCAGCGGCACAGATGCTTGTTTTCATGTTGGATTGTTTGCTGGATGGAAATACTGCGATTTGATTGATATCCATTTTTTCGAAATGCACCAATCAGAACGCAGTATTTCTATCCAGCAAGCAACCGGCACGAAAACAAGCATCGTTGGCTTAAGTATGCTAAATCGATCACAAATGCCATTTATATCTTTTTATTTGAAAGTATAATGCAAGAATTCTTGGCATGCGTTTTCTCGCTTCTGACGTCATCAAACAAGAACGCTCGCAGCAAGTGGTCAGGAACCTTAAGAGTAGAGTTACCCAGTAAGCAAGAAATCATTAGCACAACGTTATTACAATGACATTTTATAATATATTTTCAAATATATAGTTCTTAATGTTGTATGCAAATATCATTGTTAACGATTATTATTCGACCTAAAATATTTATATTATTTCTACACTATAATTTTAATACTTAGAAATATTATATTATTAAATTACAGTGATAACAAAAGTACAGTATAGCAAAAAATAGTTAAGAAGCGTTTATAAAATATTATATCGAAATATTTATAAAATCCATATAAAATCAATTCCAAAAGATTGATTTAATGTTTCTTACTTACTGGACTGTTGTATCCAGTTCTCTTTCGCAACATTTGCTCCCACTCGCGCATAAATGACAAATCACACCGTTTAAAAGCGAAAGAACGATAATTTTATTATTGAGAGAAGTAGAAGCGGAATGTCCGCAATATCCGCGCGGAAAATGCAAATATCGCTTTCGAATGCCGCGTCTCTCTTTCGGTAACGTCCGTCTCGCGCGATCTCGTGGTGTATCTTTTTCGTTTGTTATTTAGCAACAACCGTTGTCAGGGTTTCCTCCGTTTCTTCTTTCTTCGGATATTTAAACCGGCTATGCTCCAAGCTGGACTAAAGCCCAACTCACAATGGCAGAACGAAATAACAGAGTCGCAAGGATATTCTAAACGGGTTTTACAGAATCGATTAGAATAAAACGCGATGTCGAGGTGAACTCGACCGCGAGTAGGACCGTAAAGGGTTAATCTTAATCTAAGAGAATATTTCTAGGAGTAGAATAGATTCCGTCGATAGTCTGACTCGCTTGATAATGACGCTCTTTTTTTAATTTCATATCTAATTACTATTCTATGATAGATAGGGACTGGAGATTTTCAGTTACGCGTATGTGTGTGGGCGCGCGCGTGTACGTGTATATGAGCACGGTTAGTATTGAGCAACGTTGGTGCATCCGACCTAAAGTGCGAGTACTTAATTACCCGCGATTGTCGCGACAAACTACGCTACAATACACTTAATAATATCGAGTTACAAAACAGAAGACGTCCACGATGTCTCGCAATTCTCGGCTTTCCAACGCGGCTCAATAGATTTATTTCACGAAATTGTGTGTTTGTCATTTCAAAAGCCATTGACATGTGAATATCTGGACGAAGCATTCTATGAGAGGGGAAGGTGTAATTATGTAATTAAATAATGAATAATAAGGTCTATTTAAATAATTAGTGATAAGGAAAAAATTACGGTACTTTGGCTAATTCCGTCGCGGCTTCTTCGGTATAATTCGGTTTTACATCAACTCGCACTTGAAATGACATTTGCAACGAACCAAACTAGCATTTTTGGGAAGATTTGCTATGTCAATGTATTTCAAAGTGTCAATGTATCCTAAGACGTACACAAAGCACGTACGTGTGAGTCGAATAGTGACGATTCGAGTCGAATACGCCGAAGTGTCGTAGTTTCCTCTTTATTAAAAAGTGGTACAAAATTGGTCTATTGGCCTTAATTGTGACAGTGCTACTTCCAGTAGACTTATTCTGTAACTTTCAATGACAGTCAGTTCAATGACATCGACACGTCGTTGTCGTTACGTTGTCGTTGCGTAGGTATAATATATGGTAGAAATGCTGCGCAACGGCACGTAACGATAGCGCCACTGTCGTCAAAAGTTACAGAATATGCCTGCAGATATTCATATGTCGAGATTAAAAATCAAAATACTCGTTTATTACAACGGAAGAATTAAAGTAAATTTTTACAAATCTCGTCGCATAAAAATGTATAGGAAATCACGCACAAACGCACGAGATATGCCCGAGAAAAAATTTCTCATATATAATTATATATAGAATATGTCCATATATATATAAATATATATTTACATATAATCATATATAACTTGTATATATTTATATATAATTATATATAATTGTATCATTACTTCATATATAATTATATATTTTTTATATCTGACGTTTTATATATAATTATACATAATTACATATAGAAAATCTTCCCCCTACGTTTTTTTCATAAGTTCTTGAACACGGATCCCGCGTCCATTAGGAGAATTAATTTTTTAAATCATTCTTAGAAGATACATTTTCCTATTGGATACGAGATGCGTTGCGAAACTCATCGAAAAAAAAAAGCGTTGCAATCTTTTTGTAACTGACCATACAAGATCCTCGATTGTTCACGCCGAGAATTCCGAAGGAACTCTCGCAGAACGTGTCGCTGTCGACCAATCGACTTGTACAGTTGTGAACGCAACGTAATTCTAATTGCGCTTACGAAAAAACTACGCGATGGCTTCAGGCCGACACGCGAGTCCAGAGGAAGTCTCCCGAAGAGCCGAAGGGATGATCGTCGCGTGGTCAATCGGCGCCGTTCGTCTTGTGACTAAGAATGGTCTCGATGTTACGCTGAATCCGCGCGATTTGCGATCGTTTACTCCTCGGCGTGCCCCCCTCCTCGATGTACAAGTTGCCGCCCGCCTCCACCGGCCAGCTAGCCGCCGCCGCCGCTGCCGCCGCCGCCGCCACCACCGGAGTCTCTCGTTTCCGGTCTGCAAGCAGAGCAAACGAATCCTTAGCGGTCGGACGAACGAAGGGAGAGGCTCTCCGTTTCAAAACGGAGTATCGTAAACGATTATTATGTCGCGCGGACGAACCGCGAAGTTTAGCGTTTCAAAATTGTCGTTACGGTGACTTTCGCCAAACTCTGATTGATCTCATCGACGATTTAAAATCAATTCAAGACCAAAAATCCCCTAAAAAGATTATAACATTCTTGCTTATTATATGACAATATCTATTCTTGATTTAAGACTAATTTTTTCCGTGTTGCCTTCCTTGTAATCTCTCCGACCAAGCGAGCTGCAAGGTAAAAAAGTACGGACATCGACACTCCGCGCGTATTTCGGGAACACCGTGTACGTCGCGTTACGCTTCCGGTAGCGGTGGTCCACATATAAATACAACTTCCGAGGCGTGGGAGCGCAATGAAATATTCCGGCGGGGAAGGATCCCCGCGCGCGCTCGCGGAGCGTCTCACTTTCCGCTCCGGTACGAGAAGCGTAGCGTATGTATTGACGCCGACGCTGCTAAAATTGGCGACGAATTGATTTTCGGGCTCACGGGCGCTTTGCGTCAAACGCGAAACTGCAAGTTTCGCACGAGCAGCGGCGAATCCGCCGCTCCGTCCCGCGAACTCGTTCCACGCGGACCTTGACGATTGTGAATCGGCTTTTACCAACGACGAATGCGAAGGGTTCTTCTAACGAAGGGTTCGATGCTCCCACGCACAGAGAAAGTATTATACTTTTATGTATATAAATTCTCCTTTCAATTTTACGCCATGTTTTTTCCCAGTAAAAAATGTAGGAATAGAAAGAAAAACATTTCTTTGGATTTAGTACACGTGTTTTGACTTGAGTTTGTTTAATATAAACAACATAATTTGATATCAAATGTCATTTTATTTGAATGGACGTTGTTACTGCACTAGAACAAATCATGTTGTTTGACCAAAGAAACGGTATTATTTTGAGGAAATATATATAATATTGTTTTTAATAAAAAATTTATCTCATCATATATTAACACGTTAACTGCCACGCGCATTTCGGAGGAAATCTCCGTCAGGCCAAATCCATTAAAATTTTTTGATAAGAAATATTTAAGTATATTAATTATACGATCCTGAAATTATCTATTAAACTATGTAATTTTTTAATTTTATATTGTACTTTATAATGTCAGTCACTGGTGACTGACGCGGCCCGAACGGAAAGTTCAGTGTCAGTCACTGGTATTTAGGATGTTATTATATATTAATACCTATCGAATAACTATTTTTTATTTTTCAAGTATTTCTTAATGCATACAGATGTCTCAACTCGTATGTATGTGTGCGTGTGTGGGTGAGTGCGTGCGTGCATCTGTGCGTGCGTGTACTGCAATGAGAAATATTCTCTTAGAAATGTCCGCCACTTTCTTGACTTTTAATTTCAGCTAATAAATTTTGATGTCGCATTGAATGCGTTTTAACCAGCCAATTCTTATTAGCAATGACAGCAAAACAACTAGGCTTTCGGCTAACTTCGAACCGGCCGTTGCGCGATTGCGGCTGACGGTAGTGTCATTTTTTTGCGCGCCTGAAACGAGAGTTGGGAAACGCACACGCAGGAACGCGTCCGCGCAATTGCTTCCCGACGGAATAGCAAACAATTTCGCTGAAAACACTTCGGTCGGGATCAGCCTGTCCCTACGGCCGGTCGAACCGTATATACATATCCATAAATCCGCCACTGACGCGGCGCGTACGCGTGCGCGCGCTAAAGTTAGCGCGCGGCGAGCGGCGCGCCGCTCACCGAGTCGCGCGAATGAATGAAGGCAGATAAACGTCCGTACAATCGCGTCATTTTGTTTTCGCGGACGATAAATAATTCGCGGGAGTGCAACGCGTCGGTTGGGCGAGCGGGCGAGTCTCGTCTGTTTTAAGATCCGTCTACTACAAACAGCTACTACTTCCCAAAATACTCCGACGGAAACGTGCTGCCGAATCGATGATACGCGCGCTCTGACGTAACGCACGTACGTTTCTCCGTGATTTCCCATTAGCGGGATGCAGTCCGACGCTTGAGAAGGTTGTTAGTGCGGAGTTTGGATAAGAATTCGTGTACATTAAAATATTATCTGACTGCTCGTGCAGTTAGAAAAAAGATCGATCGTTCAAGAGCCGAGGAATTTACAATCAAAATTGACACTTTTTATACGTGTCCCTCGAATAATTAGCGTGCTATTTATAATTTATATTTTTCATATCTTTTAAACTAAAAATAAGAGTGATGAAAAACTACTGTGATATTAAGGACTAATATTGAAAATACAGCTAAATTTTGAAAATACAGCTGTGTCAAGTTCATAATTAATAATTTATAATACTCAAACTACATGTATATATGCACGTATTTAAACACATATATACCTCTTTCTATCATCTGTGCATCTCTGTCGGACCAATTGATGCATAAATATAGCATTAATAAGAAAAATAAAAGTAATATTTTCGTATTTGTAATATTATGTGTGTGTGTATTTATTTCAACTTTGTTTAAAATTAACATTTATTATTTAGATAGTGAAATAAAAGTATAGAAATTTTGTTTGATAAATATTAAATTTACTAAGTGGTCTCTTTGATGCACCACTGAAAATATGATACTGAACGTTATAACGCGCCTCTTTAAATGCGCCTCTTTAACCCTTTGAGTACTGAATTATTTTAAGATTTTTATGCCCATAGGACGGATTTAATTTGTCGCTATATGGATTAATATGTAAAAGTAATACATTTTATGCCCAAGTAAGCAGATGACGAGTCTCACTTGTCAAATGTACCGAAAGGGTTAAACGCGCCTGCGAGAAAAATCGCAAGATCAGATACGGAATCCCGACATTACCCCTCTCTGTGAAATTATATATTCGCAAAATCTATCGAATCGCAAAATGTAGCAAAAATTACACTTGTGTACGTGAAGCATAAATGGCAAAAAAATAAAATAAGCAGCTGTAATTTAAGAAACGAGTAATTAAAATAGGAACAACTTCTAAAGTGGCTAATGACATATGATAAAAGTCAGTTATAATGTTAAAGTTATTTTTTAATGGATACATAAGCGATTAGTTGATATGACCCTTTTATAAAGAGTGCGACGCGCTCCTACATGGAAAGTTATGAGGATAATTTTGGTTTTAAACGATAATAAAAACATAATAATGATACACGCACGCGATATTTTCTCACAGAACGGATATGCCTTCGGCAAATCGCCGATAAGAGAGAGATTTTTTGCTCGGAAAGTAACACGTGTTCTTGATTACGCGCGTTAAATAAATCCCCAAGCCCGTTAGTAGCGAGAATAATGAAAAATGTAAGACGCAAGCTCGAACGAGCTCGAATTAAAGAGAAGAAGACGCACGGTAGCGGCGCGATTCCAGAGACGATAATGGAAAAGATTAGGAAGAGATCCGTGTCGATGGTCGGTATAAATTACCGTGTATCGCGTGCGGATGCGCTCTTCCCCCGTCTTCGTGCACGGCGCCCCCTTGAACGGCAAAAATGCGGAACGTGATGTTACGTGTAATGCAAATACGCTGTAGCGGAAATAAATAGCGCTGGGAACAACACGCTGAATGAAAGTTCGATAACGAGCAGAGCGATTTATGTGTGTCAATGGGGCCCCGCGTGTAAGCGCGCGCTTTTTTTTCGTGCTCTTTATATACAACCGACCATATAAATCCGGCATACCATGATGAAGCTTCGTCCGTATCGAAAAGCCGAGTGTGTCACTTCGCCCACGTGCATTCAACACTCACCCGTTATGTCATCGATTAATCAGTTTGCGTTTAGACACTGACAGAAATTTTAGTTATTTTCACTAACATATATGTAAAAAGTTACAACTGATAGTATAGTAACATTTACTAAAAAATTTATTCTCCAAACTATAATTCTTTCATTATAATGATCATTTTCTAGGAAAAAATTCCTCTATTTATGTATATATGCGCGCGCGCGCGCGCACACACACACACATTTTTTTTCAGCGCGGCGGTATATTCTCCACTCCTTTGAGTGAATTATTCACTCGTTCCGAGCAAGAGAGATCTCTTTCGAAGAAATTTGTAAAGAATAATCTTTCTGCCTTCTTCTCTCTTCTCCCAAATGTCAAGTACGTAGCTACTTTATGTTAAATACAGACAGTGTAAGTTAGTGCAGCTATAAAGAACAGACCTATTTATATCGTGACCGATCTCGCTCGCGGTCCTTTAGTACCGATTTAATCATGATTTAATTCAACTCTAATGCCACATCGTGTGGATATTCTAAGTTCGTTGTTGAATGGAGCTTCGCCTCGCGGTCGACACTACCGCGCAGCGTGCCAAAAAATTACTTCCGGTCGGCCGAACGGTACTTCACGGTTAGCCCGTGTGCACACGCACGAAGGCTCATTCAAGCGCGGTGTAAGAGAGAGAGAGAGAGAGAGAGAGAGAGAGAGAGAGAGAGAGTCGAGCGAATTTATATTGTGTTTGCTCTCCGACGACCTCCCCCGCACATCCGTGTCCCTCAGTCCGCCCCTCTTGCTTTCGGCGCACAAAATGATCATTGCGAATGTGCACGCAACTACATCTTACTCCGGCCGGGCACAATGAAAGTGGGACTGTTAAAAGCGACGCGTAGTACGTAACGACGCAGGCCGAATCCTACGCATCAATTTCAGCGCGTTGTCCGTGTCGCAAGATACTGCAATTGATATGTCTACCGATACTGACGCAATACATTGTATCGGCTTTGAAAGCGAATGATTCGTTCTTAAAAGAAAAGAGAAATTATTTGAGATAGATATGAAATTATGATATTTTTAAAGTATTTAAATTATTTAAGACATAACAAGATTAAAATATTTTAATCATATGGTATAAACATTAAACGAAGAGAATATGCAGTTTTTTTTATATGGAATTCTTTTCAATCTCTTTCTCTGATGCAGGAATAAACTGTTAGTAAAGTTTATCTTACTAAGGAACATAGCAAATTTATTAATAAAGTAGACTTGTTTCTAAAATATATAAATAACACACATGGAACGAATGAATAATAAATGATGTCAAAATGTCAATATGTTCCTCAGTTATAAAATTCTATGACTATTTTTATTATAAAATTCTCACTGTTTATATAAAATTAAAATATTTTAATTGGTATATTTATAAATAATATAGGTATATTATGCAAATATATAAATATATACAAAATATGTAGTGTACGCATTAAATAAAATAGCTCAGTTTCATAGACAGACGCAACCGAAGTCCGGTAGTTTTACCGTCGAATATTCTCAAGCGTTTGACCTTTACCTAGACACACATCAGACGCTTTAGAAGAGCGATGGCCAACGCTCGCAGGTGGTAACGTCGAGTGGTCGTCGCGAGAATTTATAGCCATGTGAATGAGGCACTTTAAAATTCTAACCGTGCTTACCTAAAAGCTTCTCAAGATACTGACATCTGGTCTCGGGATCACCTGGATTCATCGGCGCTCCTGCGACCAGTTCGGCTAACTCTGCCTTCACCATCAGATTCAACCTGGCCGAGATCTCCTCGAGGCCCGCTAAAAACGAAGATTCCATCAATCAACGAGGCAACGAAGAAATGTGTATTGCGATCGCAAGTTCCTTGAACAGTTCATATGGAAACATCTAATGAAGGCTTTGCAGAGAATAAGAGTTACATGGATAATTAGAACTCGAAACGTGAATCTCTTGAACGATGGAGAGAGAGAGAGAGAGAGAGAGAGAGTATTCATATCGATCTTTTCCGTTTTCTACCAATTTCTCCTAAATTCTTAGAGTCTCGATGTTTTATTTTAGAAAATGAATAGAATATATTTTAATAGAGGGGTATGAAATAAGGATAAATAATATTACAAAAGTTTGATTTAAAAAATAGTTCCGACGGAAAAAAAAGGAAACAAAAAAAATGTTTAAGAAACAGAATAAGTACATCAAGCGCTCGTGGTCGTTTACGTAAAAAAAAAAAGTAACTATTCTCGAGTTAAGGATATACTCAATAAGTCAAAAACGACGGCGCTCCTTCCGTTTCATTCAAATAAACATCTCCGGGATCTCGAGCGCATTCGACACGTCGAGAACGCGTCGAGGATATCCATGGAATGCGGCTCGATTTTCTCCGAGGGTCTCATGGTAAACGGTCGACTCCCCTAATAGTTCCCGGCTCAAGCGGTATCCCCCATAAAGTTCTCACCCCTCTCCAGCACCCGCCGGCCGATGCTCCTAATCAGAAGCACCGGGTAGGCCGACCATCAGCCACAATCAAACGGTACCGATTGCATGCCGGGTATCCGTTTCACAGTATGTCAATCGTGCCTATTTTACCATGTGTAGTCGCATAAACTTGATAACGCTTTTCAACATACGTAAAAACGCTTTAAAAACAGGTTGTACAGCGATAACACAACAATACGCGCCGCAGAATAAACATTTTTTTGTTAATATTATTTCTCTTTACGATGTTTCATTTTAATATTAATATTATATGGTATATAAACTATCTCGCCGCAGCCATATTGATTTAAGACATCATAAGACATTCATTCGCGCACGTGAGTCGCGAGAAAGAGAGAGAGAGAGAGAGAGAGAGAGAGAGAGAGAGAGAGAGAGAGAGTGAGAGGTATATAGAATAGTGTAAAACTCTTTAATCTTAATATTATACGGGATAATAAATCGCTCGGACGCGCGCGTACATACCGCGTACAATTAGTATTAATTAACAATATACATAATTCGCGAGCGATAAATATTAATGGAAGCCGGTTGCAATAGAATTAAACGGATTTTGCGTGCAACACGCTCGACGAGGTAGCCGGTGCTATTTTTATATAAGAATCGCGCCTCGAAACCACTCGCGACGATGATATTGCCCAAGGCTCCATCCTGTGAAGTTCGAATTTTCTTTTGCGACCAGAAAATACGATAATAATTCTTATCCGCTCTCTTTCCTGCGCTGAGGACTCTAATGCGCGACAGACGAAGGAAATGAGAAAAAAGTGAGAGGGGAGAGAGAGAGAGAGAGAGAGAGAAGGAACACGCGAATCCCTCTTTCTAACCGGTTCGCGTAATTCATTCGCGAATATTTTTCGCATGTCGTCGCAGCTCCCCGGCATTGCGTTTCGCCGAATGTGTAGATTTAAAAGGCGATACGCGCCGGACGGGAGAGCCTTCATTCATACGGCGTTCATTAACGAAACGTGGCTGAATCGGTTCCCACAGACGGTACACGCGATACAACGTGGCGTAGGAAGACAGGGGGAGAAAGAGGCAGAGAGGGAGAAGGGGAAGGGGGGGGGGTTCTGCGAGCAAGAGAGTTCTGTGTACTGCTCGTTATGCAAATGCAGATAGTAACGTCGTATACACGTGCAGCGCGCCGCCGGGTCTGCGGAGAGTGTTACACGATTTTGACTCACACACATTCCTTACGGGCGAGCCGGCCCGCGCCGCTATGTGTACGAATTTTACCGCCCGCATAGAAAATTCTTCAAATTTTCCCAGAAGCAGCACATTCCGCGTAGAAATATCTCAAGATCTTCCCGGATACAGCGTAGATTCGGATCAGAATGCTCAAATTTGTTCCAGAATAACTGGACATACTATGGTACTAATTGGGAATCCCACTCTTATCCCAAAGATCGGTTCTCTATCTGGAATCGAAAGAGTAATATCGTAGAAACTCACGCTTTTCCTTTTTCAGTGGGTAAAATTGGTATAATCTCTCGTGGAATCAAATAGAGGGTGTTAAAAAGTTAGATGGACAAACTTTGAAGGGGAATAGAAGACTTCAAAGTAAATATTTTTTGTTAATACTATTTTTCCCTACGACGTTTTGTTTTAATACTACGTGGGATAAATAACTTTATAGAAAAATCAAATTCTTCCATTAGGACTCATTTATTTTGCCGCAGCCACGTTAGTTTACGACGTTATAGACGAGAAATGAAATGCAATAAGTTTTTGCGTAATATAGCTTTATTCTTTTCCTAAAAACAATAGTTTTGTAATTCTGAAACTTATAAATTATGCGGAAAAATGCATGTTAAAATTTATTACATGTCATTTCTCACCTATGATGTCTTAAATCAATATGGCTGCGGCGAGATAGTTTATATACCATATAATATTAATATTAAAATGAAACATCGTAAAGAGAAATAATATTAACAAAAAAATGTTTATTTTGAAATTCTCTATTTCTCTTCAAAGTTTGCCGGTCTAGTTTTTTAACACTCTGTAGAGAATTCCATTTTTATATCGACTATTAAATCTAAAAAAAAATAAAAAGATAAAAAAATACATGTAAATCTGAAGCACTGAATATATTTACACCTTTTAAGTAATTCTAATTATAAAATGTGAAAATACGCAAGGTATTTCATATGTATCTTTCAAATCTAACATAAAACGGAAACCAGAGGAAATCTCTTGGTAGATCAAATGGAATCTGTGTTTGGGTTTCCCAATTCGAATCGTTTGTTTGAAACATCACACTTCCAACCTAGTTCTGAATGAATTTCCCCCAGAGTCCGTAATTCTCTCAGGCAATCGATCTGAATCCCAATTACACGGAGAAAATATTATAGTAAAAATGACTACAAAATTTTATAATACTAGACCATACCGGAATTATAACTGAAATTATTATGCGTGTTATATAATCTTTAGTAATATGTACGTATGATGGAATACGCTACAAAATTACAACACACGTCACATTTCATGTTAATTTTTATTACAATATTTTCCCCGTGTAAATCCCACGAAATTTTCCACGATGGGACATGCAATGCCCACCGAAGAAAAGAAGGAAAAAGATGCGTGAGATTACACATACTCCCGAAGAATGTCAACTCGCTTTACTCTCAAGAAGTCACAAAAAACCGGGCTCGGCGATGGCACGTAACGCGAGAGATCCGGGAAAATTAGCGCAGATTGAATGGGTTAATCCCTACGGGATGATTGGTCTGACAGATTAGTCCTTGTATAGCGAGCGTATTTAGCGAGCGAGTGTAACGAACGCGGAACGAGGTGCGCGACGTCGACGGCGTGGGCGACAGTACACACCGCGCTCGACGTGGAGACGTCATATCCGGGCGCGGTAGGTCGATCCAAGGTGAGGAGTGGCCGTGATCAGCCCTCTAATGAAGAAAATCCTGTCACGCATTTTAAGGGACTCTAGCTCGCTCCCTCCTCTCTCTCTCTCTCTCTTTCTCTGTGTGTGTGTGTGTGTGTCTCCCTCTCTGTTTCTTGCGTGTGTACTACACGCACGCACCAATATTCTCCCGCCGCCGACATCCCGAACGCGGCTCCCTTTGCCTCGTGAGATATGGATCCTCGTCGAGGAGTATCGCGGATGCATAGTGATCATTCATCGTACAAATGAATGGCAATGGAAACGTCCCTGTGATTATTCCGGTTACGTGAATTACGTGACGCGACGTCACTGAGTTACGATTCGGAGTGATTACAAAGTGGAGCCGTCAGGAACGTCAGCCGGAAACGTATCCTGAAAGCTACTCACAAAAATTCTGCTCCCGCGTGGAAGGTTCTCTCAAGAGTCTCCGGGTTCTCAAAAGCGGCACTTAGCAGTGATTCGTACATTCAAAATTATTTAATAAATTTACGTGCTATTATCACATACCGCCTATTATTGGCCTTTTCTTTTCTTTAATTTTTTAAGTTCCGGCATGTCCTTAAAGATATAGGGCATATATTTCTAAAAATAAAAATATTTCTGTTGATATCTACAGAGAACTTTTGGAGCTATATTATGGAGTTATATTATAATATAATGATAGTATATTTATCTTAAAAAAAAAACAATTTAATTTTTATCAACTTTTTATAATTTTTATAATAAAATTTTTCATTCTTTTGGCAGAAATACTTCTGAAACATTATTTGAAACATCTATTTGATATTTGTATTAAAATAACACCTAAATTTCTAAAATAAAAATCTGCTACTCAAAGGTTTTATATTGACTCAAAATCATTATTATTATTATTATTACTAATTTGTATTCAAGATACCATCGTCGGCCTCCAATCGAGTCTGCCTCCTACCTGGCTCGAAATTCCTCTTCATACGCCGCCATTGCCTCGCGTAAACGAGAGCCGAGCATCCCGCCACCAGAAAGAATACTATGCAGGCGCAAACCGCAAGGACCAGAGCGCCGGTTTGCCAGTCCCACGGGAGATTATCCAGGTTGGTTGATTTTCTCCTCTCCCGAGGATCGTGTGCTTCCTGTGGTCATAACAATCAACGTTACCTTTGCCGACGTTATTGCACCATTGTCGCGTGAATCGTCAGTTTCGAAAGCACCCGAAACGCGACCAATTTCGGTAACCCGACCATGCACGGCATAACAAACAGAATGAAAACGGTGCCAACTTTCGCCGAGTCAAAAGTGCATGTTTATTGTTTTCTATACTCGTCGATTGAGTCATCACATCAATTTTCTTTAGAGACTCGTGTGAAAGTTGGACTGCCGATTCAACGTCAGTTGATACGCAAAAGATCAACCACACATTGCAAAACAAACCGTTCAAAAACTCTCCGAATGAACATTGAAGTTCTCCTTCACTCTCCCTATTCTCTAGACATCTCACCAACAGATTATAATCTTTTCAAGCATCTGGATGCGTTTTTGGCAGGCAAAAATTTCAATGAAGAAAGAAGTGTGAAAAATGCATTTAAAGAGTTTATCGCTTCACGCTTTCTAGATTTTTTTAGAAAGTGCACTGATGCATTTGGATCACGTTAGCAGAAGTGTATTGAAGGTGTAGGTGGAAGCTATTTTGATTAGTTATGTAAGTTTTAAATTTGAAAAATACAAGTTTCAACTTTATATTTATAAACGGCCATTTCATTTGCACCAACCTAATACAACTCCACATAAATCCAATCTCATGTTACCTTTGACTCTTGCGAAGCGGAGATTGGCTGTTCGTCGTCCAAGAGGCCACTGTCCTCGTGGTTGAGACCGACGAGATCACCGGCTTCTTCGTGAAGTTGTTCTCGCCGCTCGTCTGTCGGTTCGGGCAACTGCCAGAGCATCTTTGAGGTGACGGCCTCGAAGCGACGTTGCACGGCCTCCGGCCTTTTCCTGGTCGACAAAAAGGACCAGTCGAGCTCCAGTGCCGACAGCGGGCCGCAAATCGTATCCTTGTGCACCGAACACGTGCTCAGCGTGAACTCGGGGTCGCATCGGGTGCATGGCCAGCAGGAGCCGCGATCCGTGGACCAGAATTCCAGGCCCGGCTTGCAGACCGGATGCTGTGCGCCGGATATCGCGTCGGCGGATTCGCACAGGCCGACGAATACCGACACCAGGGTCAACAGCAACCCCCGACAGGATTCCCTCGGCATCACCTGCGATCGTCATTACGCCTGTTATACGTGCCCCGTCAAATTTCACCGAGCCAATCGGTGGTCACGCGTCAGATTATTTTTTTTAATCTGTTCATTCTTCAAGTGCCAGATTTTTTTAAATCTATCAACTCTTCAAGTCTCAGATTTTTTTAATTTGTTAAAATAGCAATGCATTTTTTACAAAACTGTTGCTTCTTGTGGAACAAAAATAGATACTTGGTGTAAAAAAAGTTTGTAGGGGACGATCAAAAGTTTATTCTGAATATCCAATTGGTGCAAAGTTAGAATGTGTCACGATTCGCAAAACAACGAGCGTGTGACTCTTCAAGGATTAACCCATATCGGACCGGGTTGCAAAAATATTGAGATCCATGAGATCCAAGTACCGTTTTAGGATAATTGGGGCTCAAAGAACTCAAAAAACTTAAAATCAGAATTTTCCGAATAGACGTTTCCTCCGGAAAATAGTTGCAATATCTACCTTGAGTGACACCTGGCATACACCTGGTGAATCATATCATAAGAGAATCATCATTATCAACAATTTGAATTTTTGACAATACCTTATCATTGTATTATCAATTTTCTATTTTTTACCATTTTTAATCGATAAGGTGTAGAAGAATTAATGAATGAAAAAGGTGTTTTTTGCAACATTATTTTCCATCCTTACAACTTTATTATTATATTTTTTTCACCTACCCCCGGGAGGGCAGTGGCCAGGTGAAATTATTTTCTGAAAGGCAAAAGTCCAAATTATATTTCAGTAACAAGATCTAGGTCAGAATTTACCTTTACCATAGATAAAAAAATGTTGAAGATAGATAAATTTGTTGTTCCTACATAAGAATAGAGGAACGAACTAGGTTAATATAAAGTATCAGAAGGCCGTTAGAACTATATTTGCACGTATGCTTTTCCACCTTCGGGATCTCTCTCGGGAAAATGTATGAAACTTCCGCGACGACATGGAAATCCTCGCGATTGCGCGTGCCGCGACAACGGATCCGCCTCGCAGCTCCGGGCTCGGCGTTATATCTCCACGCTGTGAAGAGGCGACGTCGATCGCGCTCGATCGCCGTAATTCGAGCGTATAAAGCCGCTCTTTAAGCCGCAAAAGCGCTCAGACCGTTTCCACTTCCGGCTCGTTTGCGATGTAATTACATCCGCAGTTGAATCGCGATTCATCTACGTCATAGCTCGCGGCCGTCTGTACGCCTTCGTTTCCGCGCACGAGCGAACGAACGAGCGCGCGCATCTCTGTGTGCGTTCCCGTGTGCGTATGGGCGCGCAAGTGTACGGAAAACTTTTACAGTCTGCGGATTTCGTATAATCCAGCGGCGGTATACGTATACAGAGTGAGGTGCGTAAAGCGTGACAAGTGAATATCTTCTAAAAAATTGACGACGACAAAAAATGTTTTCAAGACAGTTTGGTTTAAGATGATTGTAGCACAAAGTGAGTTTTTTTAGAGAATTCGTTGAAAATTGCAATATAATTGACACCCTGTATATCTTTTTATTCGAATGTATACCGCAAGAATTTCTGCTTCTCTCGCTTCTAACGTCATCAAACAAAACGACTGCAGCGAGGCGCCCCAGGAGCCACCAAACACTTTAACTCTTAACCCGATAAAATATCTATTCTTTTTTTGTTTTTATTTATCTATTTATAAAATTCTTTCCCGTCAATATTTCTGGAGATATTTATTTGTCACGTTTTATACGTGCCTCATTCTTACATAGCTCTCTTACATAGCTACACACTTCTTACATAGCGTGTAGAAACACGTTAAGTCTCCACGTCTTCGCGCATTTATTCGGATTGTTTCCGTTATGGCGAATGACAAGGAACACGCCGGGTATACGGCGCGCAATACGCAATGTATACGCATAAAAGGGGTCCCCGTAGTTTCTCTCCTCGCCTACTTCAAATTGCCTGCGCGCGCGCGTGTCATATTTCTCGAGGGCGCACAGCACACGTACGCAATCGCGCGCGATCAGAATGCAACACCTCGATCCGTTCGTTCGTGGGACTCGCCGTTGCAAATGCAATCTTCCGCCGAGCTCATCTCTCCGTGATTAGGATGCCAATTGAACGCCTCAAAAACCATTACGAACACGCTGTCGCGCTATGAAGCAGCGATTCCGCCGCGCTCGTGCGCGCTGGAAAAAAGCAGAGAGCAGGAGAAAATAATGGGAGGTCGAGTGTGAGTTTGGGCTGCGCGAAAACTTAACTCTTTGTCCTGTCGTATTCTTAAGGATACGTGTGTAGTGTACATGCGTATAATATCTCTAAAAATATAAATATTTTGACTGATACATACGCTACGCTGAAAAAATGCATTTCATTCAAATAAATAATTATTCTAATATTCTTTAGCAAATTGTTACCTAGATCAAGCAAATTTTGCTAAGGAGTATCGGGGTAATTATTTACTTGAATATAGCGTTTTTTTCTTTTAGTGTACGTCGTTTATTAGAGCGCTTTTGGAGCTGTCTAGTTATAGTTATTATATCTAGGTGCAGCTTTCTTATCCTAAAAGAAAAAAAAATAAACTACTACTTTCATCAATTCCTTTTTTAAAGATTTATCATAAATAAAAGTTTTTACATATAAATTTTCATAATACATTTTTTTTGTTTCCTGCTGAAATTACTTCTCGAGTCAAACTTTTGAAAACTATCTCTAATATTCGGCTGTTAAAATAACAGTAAATTTCCAAAATATAAAACGGGGGCTCAAAGAATTGAGGAATTCCGCACTACACACACACACACACATACATACACACAAAAGTAATTTATCACACAAAATTGTTTTGTATGTCTCCATGTAAAATATGTTCGTTATCAATCGATACCAACGGTGCAACTTTCAGCTAGGCATTTAATAAAAAGAAGGAAAATGGAAATATACGTGAGGGAGATAAACGGTGAATATATAGGAAATAGTAAGGACCGAATGACATTGGTTAACAATATACGTTAATGATTAATTACTTATTAAATGACACTCTCGTCACTGTCTCATCGCAGTCGACAAATGGCTTAACACGGCCACATGTGTGCTTCTAATAATAGTAACTAAAAAACTGCTCTGACTCCGAGGAATAAGGGCCAAAACCGGTTTACGTTCCACCGCGCCGCGTCTTGCAGGTTCAGAACGCGACGTTCTATACAGGAAACATATCTCGATTCAATTGAATTCACTCGAAATCGAAGTGGTGCAATGGACGCTGTGATATTTTCGTAACTCATAAGACCGATAAAGGTTCGAAAAATCTTTTGAATCGAACACGACTTGTAATAATTAAATAATACGAAATAACATCAAAAAATAATTAAAAATAATGAATAATAATTTTAAAAAAATCAATCCTGTGTCGCTTATATTTATTATTATTATATATTAGAGATTTAATTATAATGTGATCATATTGCCAAAAACATTACATTGTCACGTATTTCTTTCATTATCACGAGCACTTTGATCGATTCCTATATATACAGAGAGAACATTATATTATATAGATATAAAAAGAGAGAGAGAGAGAGAGAGAGAGAGAGAGAGAGAGAGAAAGGATATTTTATTTATATATTTCATATATAAAATTCTTTTAATTTTTATGTTTTTTTATTAGCACAAGAATAGATTGATAGTAAAGCCTATTTTGCTAAGAAATATATATGAAATTTTTTGATAATAGATTTCAGTTGAAAAATGATACATATAGCATGTATGAAACGGAAAGGTAACAAATTAAGACGGGATGTCAATATGTTCTTCGGTTACAATATTCTATAGTAATTTCACCATAATATTCTCTTTGTACACCCTTTTTTCGGGGATATATCTCTTTCGCCACTTTGTTCTGTCGCTTTTAATTCCCATAATCGCGAAGTTAATAGAGCTTCAACGGCAATGGAAGTTACGAATTTACCCGCGGGAAAGAGGGAACGCGCGACAGTGTTTTATGGGTAACGTCTGCCGAAGCGAAAGAATGCCAGAGCTTGATACAGCCGCACGTGTTCGCTTAATGACGTTAATAAGACGGCTCTTTCCCTCCCCGGAATGCGTGCAAACAGTTTTAAGTGATGAGTCGAATTACATCGCGCCGAACGTCAATGTGGAGCTACGCGTTGGTGACTATAAATACATTAAATAAAAAACAACGATAGCAATTATCAAACGGGTCTACATTGTGCGAGACTCTCTAAATATCTTGCGGTGAAATTTGAGCCAAAAAATAGAGATGAGTTACTCGAATGTGAACGACTTTTCATTCGTACAGAATTAACTCTCCACTCTGAATCGTAGAGTAAATATTTTCTCTTGATGATTGAAGAGCGAATCTGATGTATTTTATCATCATAGGAACACATTTATTCAAATCAATTGAAACATTCACTCGTATGAAGTAAGAATCCACTTTAAACTTGAGGCCCGTATTAATGGTCATTACTTACTGCAAACTCGCCCCTGATTGAAAGTTGGAGTTAGATCTGAATTTTTCATTTCAATCATATGATATATGTGACGTTTTATATGTAATCATGATTCAACTGGAAAACTCGCACCCAATTCTAAATTCAAATTTGAATATTTCACACTTGAGACAAGTTTCAAATAAAGACTGTACGAGTAATAATTATTAATATGGATTTTTCGCTTCCAAATGGTACATTTTTTAAATTTATTATTAGACTTCAATTTCTAAAATATAAATAATACATTTAAAACGGAAGGATAAATTAAGGCAGAATGTCGATATGTTCCAGTTATGTATTATCAGTTACAAAATTTTTACGGTAATTTTTACCATGAAATTCTCTCTCCGTATATACCGAGCGACAAGTATCCTCCAATCGCGAACGTATGGCATGGTCGTATCGTCGAGTTTATCTACAATCTCTCCGTTGACGACAGAGGCACGATTCGAAGGCGCTTTCGAGGAACTTGACGTGACTTTCGATACGAATGTGGCTCGCGCAACGCGG